TACTCAAACTAGGAAACATTTTACAGAACAAAAAAGAAAGAAAAGAAAAGAGAGAAACTACAGAAAAATCTCTCCTAAATATAGGCATTGAAATCTTTGAAAGTATTAATCAGCTGGATCCAACAGTATGCAAAAATAATTATGCCTCATAATCAAGTGGGATTTATTTCCACATATTCCTTGAACATCATGGAATTAATTAACATCATTCCTCACATCAACAGGCTAAAGAAGAAAAACCATATGGTCCTATGAATAGATGAAGAAAAAGTGCTCAATACAATCCAATAGCCATTCATGATAAATAAAACTCTCAGCAGACTTGGAATACAAGAGAATGCCATCCACTTGGTGAAGAGCATCTAAAAGAAACCTACAGTTAGCATCAGTCCTAAAGGTGAGGGACAAGATGATTCCCCATGAAGACTGGGAATGAGAAAAGGATATCACTGCTCACCACTGCTTTTCCACATTGTACTGGAAGTTCTGGGTAATATAGTAAGCAAAAAGGAAAATAAAGTATATAGATTATAAGGGAAAATTAAAGCTGTTTTTTTTTCACAAATAGCATCATGTCTATATAGAAAATCCCTAAAAAAACTCAACAACAGCAGAAACATCTACATCTAGAAAAGTGTTTAGCTCAAGACTGCAGGACAGCAGTTGATTGCTTTCTTGTAGAAAACAGTATACCACTGGAATATGAAATTAGAAACACAACATATTTTACACTAGATCTAAAAGTTAAATATTTAGGTGTAAATTAACAAAATTGGCACATAATCTATATGGGAAAAAAGTATAAAATTCTGAAGAAGGAGATCAGAGAGGATCTAAGTAAATGGAGAGATATATCATGTCCATGGATAGGAAGAACTGAGAGTGTGAAAGTGTTAAGATCTTCCCAAACTGATCTATAGATTTAGTGCAAGCCTCATTAAAATCGCAGCAAGTTCCTTTGTGGATATTGACAACTGATTCTGAAGTTTACATAAAAAGGCAAAGACTGACAATATCCAACACACTACTGGAGATGAATGAAGTCAGAGGACTGATAGCACCTGGCTTCAAGACCCATTACAAAGCCACAATACTCAAGACAGCATAGCATTGGAAAAAGAGTAGATAAACCCATCAATGGGACAGAATTGAGGACCTACATATAGATCCACACACAGATAATCAACAGAACTTTGAAAAAGACCAAAGACAACTCAATGGGGAAAGTATAGTTTTTGCAAAAGTGGTATTAGAACAACTAACAATCCTCATGAAAAACAAGGTGAATCTAGGCACTTTCCACCTTTCATATCAAAATTAAAATGCCATACAACAAAACTTCTAGAAGGTAAAAGGAAAAAATCAAGTTGATCTTGGGTGTGTCAGTGAGTTTTTAGATGCAACAGCAAAAGTCCCATCAATGAAAATCATTTTATAAAGTGGATTTTTTAAAAATTAAAAAGCTTCTAAAATGAAAAACACTAATTTAATAAAAGACTTATCTAAAACATGCAAATAATTTGTAGAACTCAATAGTTCCATAAGTAACCCAATTAGAATGAGGCAAAAGATCTGAACAGGTACCAGAAAAAATAAGATCTATTGATGAAACACAGAATATGAAGATAACCTGAAAATCACATGTTATTAGGAAACTGCAAACACAAACAATAATGGGATACTACTGCACACTTGTTAGAGTGGTTAAAGTTCAAAACACTGACCTTGTCAAATGCTGGCCACGATGTAAAGCAACAGAACTTCTCATTTATTGCTGATTGGAATATAAAATGGCACAGGCATTTTGGAAGACAATTTGGTGCTTAATAGGCTTACCAGCGTTACCATAAGATCCAGCAATTATACCCCAAGGCATTTAAGCAAATTAGTTGAAAATATATGTGGTTGGAATAATTCTCACCTACTACATAGAAACACTAATCAAGACATTGTGATATTGATGCAGGGTAGACATATAGATCTTGAAGACAAAGAATCAAGAAAATAGTCCCACCACACAAACATGTCCAAGTGGTATCTGGCAATGTTGAAATGGTAATTCAAAAGAGGAAGGACAGTCTTTCAATAAATGGCATTAGGGAAACTGGGCCAAACTCTCACACACATAAAAATTATCCCAAAGTGGAACATAAAATATAAAATATTTTATATAAAATATAAACCACTAGAAAAAAATTTTTTAAAATCTTTAGGATTTAGAGTTAGAGAAAGAATTCTTAGACTTCACAGCAAGTGTACAACCCACAAAAGGGGAAAAAAACCGATAAATCCGACCTCATCAAAAGCAAAACTTTTGCTAAAGCATAAGGAGGATGTGGAAGAAATCAAAGTCTTATAAAGTGAAAGTTTGGGGAATGTAAACTAGTATGGCCACCCCAGAAACCCCTTGGGCACCTTTTTTTCCTTTATAAAATTATCCATGTAATTACCCAACAATTGCACTCTTGGCCATTTTGATCCCAGGAAAATGACACTGATGATCACACATTCATAATGCGTACAACGTTCTAGTGAATTTCAAGGGGATTATGCTGAGTGAAAAAGTCCATCCCCAAAGTTTCTACTTTCTGATTCCATTTATATAACATTCTTCAAATGGAAAATAAATGGAGAACAGATTAGTGGTTGCCAGGGGTTACCGCTGATGAGCAGGAGGTGGAAGCAGGTGTGGATACTGAGCCAGAGGAGGCTCATGCCGATGGAAATCTTGTGTATCTTGACTGACAAGGTTGTGATACTGCACTGAAGTTTTGCAAGACATTACCACTGGGAGAACTGGGTAAAGGTACTCGGGTTCACTTGATGATTTCTCATAAGTGTATATGAATGTGCAGTTGGCTCAAATTTTCAGTTGCAAAAGAAAACAGGAAAACTTTCAATGACTGGAGTAGGATACTTCATTTTCTCAATTATTTTAGCCCCTAACGTAGTAGTTTCCAAAAGATCACCTGAAGATCTTTTTTAAAATTCCAAGCCCAGGCTGTTCCTCAGATCAGTTAAATTGTAATTTACAGGTATAAGACATTTGCAAAGTCAAATGTTACTTCATTTACAGTGTTGCAAGGCGTCAGATTAAAGTTCTTTCTGACTTGCTTGTACACATTATAAGGCAAAGCAGATCAGAGCTCGCATCCTAAGGAAAGTTCAGCCCATGTTACCCTTCTATGTCATCTCTTCCCTAATCAGGAGCTTCTGAAAGGTTTAGGTTCATTCTACATGTCTGTCTAGGTTAAGTTTATATTTAAAATTCTCCAGTGGCCCCTTTGCCACAATAACTCTAAGGCATAGAAAAATGACACTACATTTTTCCTAATGTAGTTTTAGAAATGTATCTTATTTCACTTTTAATTATCCATTCTCCAAATTCATCTTGTATCTAGAAATAAAACCAAATGGACAACGGCTGGCGAGTGCATCGATTAAATCCCAACCCCAATGGGAGGGTCTGTGCATACCTGTGTAGTGTACAGCGTACAGGCTGGTCCACGCATACCGTGCTTGCTCACTGACACATCAGGAAATATTGTTTACTGGTTCCATTAGAGGTCACTCCCATGTGACTTGTACCCTTTCTTCCCCATGCCTGGCTTTCCCTGGTAACTATCTAGTATGTTTTGTTCCATAGTCCTGGTCTGGCTTACTATAATCATCTTTCTCACTGATTAAACTTCAACCATGATGAATTAACAAATACTTGAACCTAGTCATGACAACTATAAATATAAAAACCTGGAGAGCTGGGAATGAGAATAAAACTACAGAGCTGGGAGTGAGGATTACTTATTTCCTGAACTTCATGTAGTTTATCTCATTTATGTAGGACTCCATGAGATCAGTTCAGTGTCTCTGAAGAATAAACAGATGCAAAAGATTAAGCAATTGCTTGAATTTCTGCAGATGCTACAGAATAGACTTGGACTTCAAACTTAGATGTGAGATGAAACAAGTCCTTTGCTCTTTTTAGTCAATGGAACCAGCAAATAGGCATTCAAAGGAGACTAGATCACTCTGAGAAGGGACCCAAGTGAGGACTGCATAGATCTAGACAACAGGTAAGATTCAAGGGTGAAAGGCAGGAGGGGGGCCATCCAAGCAGAGAAAGTAGCAGGAAATTTCTGGCACAGAGAAGAACTGTGGTCTGGAATGTTCCACGGGGGCCAACTGACCAGGAGCCATGGGGATTAGGGGAGGCAGTACAGGTATGTGACAGTGATTCTGAAGGACACATCTGCAACTGAGAGTCACACACCAATACCTTTCAATGCATTTGAATAGAAGATTGTAGATTAAAATGTTAAGAGTGGCTTTACTATGCTGCTAACTTACACTAGTTTAGATTGCTGAATTTCTAAAAAAAAGAAAGACAAATCTCAGTATTTACTAATGAAAATAAAGCACTTGCTAAAAAAAAAAAAAGAACAACTTTATTGGGGGGGGGGCATCAAAGAGTTCTGTAAGAGACTGTGGGAGTCCCTAAAAGGAGGGAGAAACATCTACTTAAGAGCAGAAGGTTATGATGCAAGCAGGGCTTCCTCAAGATAATCTGCATTTTTGAAGATGAAGATAGTACATTGGATAACCTGGGGAAATGGATGAGAGACCAGCCGGAAAACTCTTGTAATAACTTCAGTAATTATTCCGTCTCCGACATACGGGAGTGGTGGGGCTGGGAGTGACAGGTGGACCTACTGAGAAAATCTGAAGGGAGGGATCCAGCGTTACAGGTGGATTGAGGGGTAGATTTTGAACAGAGTGGGGAGGTGGATTGGTTCCAGCTGGTCTCCAGAAAGAACTGTTAACCCTCACCCACCCTAAAACCCCACTCTCCTCTAATTGTCAAAGCTGGCATCTGTAATTAGCAAAGTTGCTTTGATTAAAAAAAAAAAAAAAAAAAAAAAACATGTCACTAGTCCTGCACGCTGAGCGTCCATCCCGTGAGGAGGGCGCCCTGCAGCGCGGTCCCAGGCAGGGGTCCTTACCTCGTGGGTCTGCGGGGGGCCGCCCGGAGCCACAGCGCAGAGCCAGCTGCTGCTCACAGCGCTCCGCCAGGGCCACCGCTGCCCGCAGCTGCCCCGCGCTGGCCGCGTAGGCGAAGGTCACCGAGCGTGCGTGCCCCCGGGGGCCGCCTCCGATGGTCACCTGGTCTGGGCCACCGTGCCGCACCACCGTCCACGCGGCGTCTGCGAAGCAGAAAGGGGCAAAGAGGAGGCGTCACAGCGGGGCAGGAGTCAGAGGCTGCGAAACACCTTTTATTTCAATTAAGTCTTTCCCGCGTTTTTCTTGGTGCACTGTAGCTGAACATGCTGGGGTTTGTCGTTACCCATTGGTGCCTGCACCAATATACCCAGATAATTAGGCCAATGCCACTCTTCAGCACTTCCCCTCTGTCCCCTCCTCCCCTCCTCGGGTCCCTTTCCTCTGCTTTTCATGAGATCCCAACCCCCACCCCCATCTTTCTTTTCCTCTCTAGCTCCACATATGAGAGAAAGTCTACAATCCTTGACCTTCTGAGTTGGGCTAATTTCACTTAACATAATCGTCTCTAGTTCCATCCATTTTCCTGCAAATGACATAATTTCATTCTTCTTTATGGTCGAATAAAACTCCATTGTGTGTGTATATACCTCATTTTCTGTCGCCATTCATCAGTTGACTGACACCCAGGCTGGTTCCACAGTTTAGCTACTGAGAACTGTGCAGCTATCAACATGGGTAGGCATGTGTCACTGCAGGATATTGACTTTAATTCTTCACGATGAATACCCACACGCGGTCTAGCTGGGCATATGGTGGTTCCATGCCTAGTCTTTGAGGAAACTCCATACTGATTTCCATAGTGGTTGTACTAATTTACAGTCCCACCAACGGTGTAAAAGTGTTCCTTCTCCTCCCCATCTTCTCCAGCATTTATTATTGTTTGTGTTCTTGATGGCTGCCATTCTCACTGCTGTGAGATGAAATCTCAGTGTAATTTTGGAGGAAAATGCAAATAAAAAACTACACTGAGATTTCATCTTAATTAAGTTTTTAATCAAAATTTGAATTACTGCGAGTTCGCAGTGAACTTTTTGCCTTGGATTTGTTTAGCAACGCATTAGCCAGAATTCAGATTCAAAGAGAAGAATATATTGGGAGAACTGATGATTAAATTTCTGTGACTTGTCTAATAATATAATGCAAAAATCACTTTTTATATCAACATAAAAATGAGGCTAAACTGGGCATGACCATATATCTTTTGTGCTCAGTATTTTCCTCATCTGTGTGTTTTCCTTATTATCAAATAAGTTTATAAAAGATGCATTTGGGGATGATGGGACCTACAGATTGATGAACTACCACAGGAAGCAACTTTGTTCAAAGCCTATCAACTTCTCAGTAAGCAAGCCCTGAAGAATGACATGCTTTGGGCATCCCATAGAGCGTCCAGGCAGTAATCCTGGCCATCTGTCCATCTGATGATAATTTCTGATGTATTTCTGTTGTGTTGATCACTTGAATTTGTTTTCTTTTACTTTTGTCTGTTTCTTGTGGTACTGGGGGTTGAACCCAGAGGCACTGTACTACTGAACTAAACCTCCAGCCCTTTACATATTTTTACTTTGAGAAAGGGCTTTGCTAAATTGTGCAGGCTGGCCTCCAACTTGTAATCCTTCTGCCTCAGCCTCCCAAGTCTCTGGGATTACAGGCTATGTGCCACCACACCCAACCATTAGATTTGTTTTGGTAAAATAACAAACAAACAAACAAAACAAGTGTCTTCCAAGGGAAGAACTTTAGGTTCTTTCGTTTTCCCACCAAGGGACCTCATGCCTGATGGTGTAAAGTATTGCCCAGCTGCATGGATAGCTATGGGTCAGTGGACAAGGACCTGCTTTGAAGTCACTCCAGTTCAACTACTTCAATACTGCCTGGTCCTTTAGCTTCTTAAAAAAAAAGACATATTTAGCATAATGGACACTCTACATAGGAGTTTTACAAACTGTAGGAATGGGGAAAATTCATATGGATATACATTTTTAAGAATTCAAAATCAAAGCAATGTAGTACGTGTGTTTTTTGTTGTTTGTTTTTGGGGTTTTTTAGTCCAGGAATTGACCAAAAGGATACTTAACCACTGAGCCATATCCCAACCCTTTTTATGTTTTATTTTAAGACAAGGTCTCTCTGAGTCGCTTAGGGCCTCGATAAGTCGCTGAGGCTGGCTTTGAACTTGCAACCCTCCTGCCTCAGCCTCCCCAGTCACTAGGTTTACAGGTGTGTGCCACCATGCCCAGCTATATTAGGTTTTCTATTGAGAAATCACCCTCCCATCCTGTCACATCTCAGGATTTTTAATAACTTGGTTTCCAAATGTGTGTAAGAGAAGTTTAACAGTCTTACCGCTGCTCACCATATCAAAATAACAAACCATATTCCCACCATATCAAAATAACAAACAGAGGCACAAGGAAGCCAGCAGTATGGTTGGAACAACCCTTTGGCCATGGTTCCTATGGAGAGCACAGTGTCCACGAAGGGACGGAAAGGACGGACACAACCTGTGAACTGAAGGAGGGAACGCAGGCTTGAATTCAATGACCGCGGCCTGCTGTCCTCATAGAGGGGCCACCAAGGTCTCCTGCAGCAATCTCAGTTCCGAGGCTCTTTCCTTTCATAAGGTTCTCAGCATGAATTTCTTTTCATTTTAGAATCTTTAAACTCCTGGCCATCCTGTGTGCATGACTCCTACTCTCCATTCACCTCCAGGTTTCTCCTGTCGACTGGATCAAATACACAGACACCTGACACTCAGTAGGGCCTTGAAGATAATCAGTCATGTGCCATTTTGGGTCCTGAGTCATGGTTTGATGGTCCTGGGTAGCTCCGTTTAATAGATTTGCAGTCATGCATGATCACAGTGTAATAACAGAAAAACAGGTTGAGATCTACCTGGAAAACTGCTGCCCCAGAGAGCAGAAAGGTAATCTGTGGGCATCATGAGACTTACACACCTGTAAAGCTCTTCTTCCTTGTGTGATTTCTGTTGAGAAGTCAGATATGATTCTTATCTTTGCTCCTGTGGAGGTGAGGTGGGTTTTTGTTGTTGTTATTGTTATTGTTTTGTTTTTTTTTCTGACTTCTGTCAAGGTTTTTTCTTTACCTTTGATGGCCCACAGTTTGAATATCCATGCCTAGGCGTGGTTTTACATTGGCAGTGGTGGTAGCATATCCTGTTTTAGTGCTCTTTGAACTTCCTGGATCTGTGATGGGTGTTTTGACAAGAATTCATGAAAAATCCTAGTTGTTATTGCTTCAAAATTGGCTTCGGTTCCTTTCTTTATTTCTTCTCCTGATATTCCGTTTACATGGAAGTTACACCTTTTATAATTATATCACAATTCTCAGATATTCTGGGTTTAGTTTTTTCAGTCTTTTTTCTTTAATCTCTTGGCTTTTCAGTTTTGGAAATTTCTATTTTGATATCCCCAAACGTAGAGATTTCTTTCCTCTGCTATATCCAGTCTCCTAATGAACTCATCTGAGGCATGTTTTCATTTTTGTTCCAATAGTTGGATTTCTGGCATCTCTTTTTCCTTCTTTTTGAGAATTCCCTCCTCTCTGATGCATGGCTCCTCTGCTCTTGCATGCTGTCTGCTTGGTCTCTTACACCATTAATCTGTTAGTCCCAGTGGTTTTCAGTTCCTAGTCTGCTAATTCTAACATCCCTGCCGTATTGGAGTCTGTTTCTATGGCTCCCTCTTTCTCTTTTGAATTATGTTTTCTGCTGTTTGTTTTGCCTTGAAATTTTTTCCTGATAGCCAGGGGTGATGCATTTGGTCCAAGTCATGCTGCCACCAGACCTTTAGTGAATCAAGTGAGATGCAGCCAAGGGGAGGGCCTGTGTGATGCCATCATGAGCCTGGGACTCTGCACTGTGGCCTCAGCTCCCTCCCCAGCACCCTCAGGCATTACCCTTTTCCTCCTTAGGCTAGGCTCTGAAACCTAGCCCAATAGTTTAGGCTCTGAAAACATTCTTTCTCAAGGGCAGGTCAAGGAGAATAGAATGCTCTGGTGAGTGTTTCCAGATGATTCTTTCTCCACTTATCCTTCTGGAAGCATGAGGAGATTTTCCTCCAATATCACTGTAAGAAACAGGTCAAGCTCCTGAAAATTGCAGCTCACAGCATAAGGATCCTTCTCTGACTGCAAATCTCTATTCCCAGACTTGTCTCCGCAGGGACTCCAGCCATTTGTCAATCACCTTTTAGGTTTTCCCACCCAGGCACTGGTGTGCCTGGGGCTTTCTGCTCTGGGAAGTGGTGATTCTCTGTGTCTGCCTGTTTCTCTCTCCAATGGGGGGGGGGGCAGCAGTCTGCTCTGCAACTTCACATCTTTGCTAGATCTAGGAAGAGTCATTGATTTTTCATTTTGTCCAGTTTTTTACTTAGTAAGATGGAGCGGTGACTTCCAAACTCCTTAGCAAGACAGATGGAAGCCACTGGCTCCTGAAAGCTTATTACTCTACATGCATTTTTCAAGCGAGTGGAACAATATTTGACAACAGCACCTTTTTTTAATTGCTTTTGCTTAATCTGCTATAAGCAATGCAACCTCCAGAGAGAAGATGACTTTTTCTAGGGGAGTTTAGTGATTCCTCTGTCATTAACTAGATTTTGTCGTTAGATGCCTCCCTTACCAACTTCACCAAGCCTCATTCTTCTCATCTTAAAACAATGACAAGATCCTTGCAAGTGTGACCTTGGTTGAGTCCTTTGATATTTGCCAAGACCACTTTACTGCAAGAGCCCATTGTGAAGAAGCTGAACCACAGCAAGGGATCCCCGGGAAAGCTGCATGACTGGGTGCTGGACCCTTCTCACATTAGTATGATTGTTAGAATCAGGGAGTTTAGGAGATGGTGAGTTTCTGTTGGTGGGACTTCTGTATTTTATATCTTCAGCACTTTGCTGATCACGTGGTTCTAAATTTTTGGAATATTCACATTTTAAACATTCTTTGGCAATCTTCACTAAAGCATTTTAAATTTCTATGTACTTTCAATTGTCTGTTTCCTTCTTTTCTAGGTGTTTGCTGGTCCATTTGGTCACTGTCCAATTTCACAGGACTTCACAACCTTTTCTCTCACACTAAATGAGAACTATTTATTTCACATTTCTTCTTTCCAGAGAGCCCCCTGAAATTTGCTAGAGCAGATTTCTGTAAAAATTTAGTTACCTAAGAGGCATTTTACGGCAACCTTCAACAATCAAGCTGTGTTCATTCGTAATAATACCTAAACCAGGAGTGGTTTTATAATATTAACACAAATCAGATTTCTTTTATTGTAAAAATTACATGCTATTGAAGATATATATACACACACATACATACATATCTTATTTCTTAGTACTTTTAAAGATCTCTTTTTTGTTCTAAATTTTTAAAATATGTAAAATCACAGAACCAAAGCTTTATATGTCATCATGGTGCATATGAAAAATATGTAATTGTGACAAGTGTTGCAGCCATAGCAGAACATTAAGTTTCACCCATAACCCAACCAAGGTAAATAAGAAATACAAGGAAGTTTTATTGACAATAAAATTAGCCAATATATCAAGTTGTATGTTTTAACAATGCTGCCAACTAGCAAATCTCTCCCTGGTGTATCCTGATCATGGGCATAAACAGTTGATATCCAGGTCTGAAGGTTATTAACGTACCTGTCATGTTGCAGTACACCAGAAACGGTCCCAGGGGGCCACTTCCATCAGCATCAATATAGTAAAGCCCAGAAGGACTTCCTCGGTGCTTGTGGGCTTCGCAGGACTGCTCATACAGCGCTGTAGGAGAACACCATCCATCAGAAGCAGAAGGGATCCCTCAATTGGTTTAATTAGTGTCCAAAGGTTTCCATTTCTGAATTACAGACACATGATACATATTATCTGACATCATTTTTATTAGTTTGTATGACATTATATTTGATTAGGTAGAAGACAGAAAGGTGACATATTATAAATTAAATTTACTTTCACTAACAAAGGAGAAGGATGTTAGCAAGTCAAGATGGATTTAAGTGTTGAACATCGTTAGGTGCTGAACAAATATTTGGCATATAGTTCTATTTGAAGAAAAAGGAAAAAGGGTACTGGTGACTAAAATGAAGATTTTCATGGGAATGTGAGGTCACTGGGCAATGGCTAGGGATTGTATTTTCTCTATGTAAACAGAGGTCACTGGACAATGTCTAAGGATTGTATTTTCTCTATGTAAATGTTCTCTTGCTTTTGAGCAAGGAAGATGAAGATTCTGAAGCCTAGTGTCAAAAATTTGAAGGGGCATTTTAGAGAAATCTGTGAATCTGAATCCTATCTGCTGTGGATTCATGATTCTATTCAAATTCCCTCCCTTACAGAACAGCTTAACCTCCTCCAGCAGCCTAATACCTTCCAACAAGTCATGCCACTTCCAACCCCCTCATGGTTTAAAGCTATAAATTCTCTGCCATTTAGTAAAACCTCAGGATACATTTTTCAAGATTGCTTAAATCTGTGTTTTCCTGCACTGCAATTCTAATTAGCCCCCAATCTGCATAATTTTCTTTGTTCTGGATGAGGTTGACTTATTCTGGGTCCGCAGCAAAGCCCAAGGAAGGGGATGAGAGTTATTCTCTCTCATTTTGCAAAACAGGAGGAAAAAAACTTTGCAAGAGGACATCTTAAATCTAAGCAATCTTAAGGTAAATACAACCAGCTATCAAATGAGAATGGCCCCACGGTAAATGGTCCAAATCAACAGAGTTATTTAACAAACTTCTTAGATGAAAACACAAGTAGGATAGATTGCTTTTCTGTCATTCTTTCCCACTTGTATATTTATTTAAATGCACAAACTTATAAATGCCTGCTCAGATTCATTCATATTAATGACAATGATTAGACCTGCATAGTTAACAAATAGGAGAATTCTTGTTTTATATTAATTTTTTGACTTAAATGACAATGTGTACACATATACTTATATGAGTGTCCCAAACAAAAATGACCTGTTATAACTCTAAGCAGTCTTGTCTCACGGTCCTTGACTGTGGGCTTGGTGAAATTTCACCTTTGCTTGGTGTACCTCTTTGGAAGCCACAACTATGGAGAACCACAATTAGCAACCAAATCATTACATCAGAGTGAAATCTGAATAGCTCCTCTTCAAATTTCTGATATTTTCCCTCAGATTTCCTCTGAGTTACATTTGCAGCAGAGATGGCCGTGGACTGTCTGCTCCCTTGAGAAGCTCTTGTCCAGATCCTCAAGCTGGGAGCATAGGATTCTCCCTGAGCCTCATTTGCATGCAGAGAGCAGAGTTAATAACACTCCACACCCTGCCTTCCTGTTACAGTTTTTATAAAAATCAAATTAAAGAAGTCACAAGGAGTTGCTATAAGTTTCAAGTAGAACCTCAGTGCAAAGGAATTGAAGTGATGATTTCCTATCTTACACCGTTTCCTTAAAGACCCAGGGAAGGGCAAATTGTTTGCAAGGAGACGTGGAGAAATGTCAGCAGAGATGCACAGAAAGAAGAGACCTTTAAAAGTTCAAACAACAACAACAAAAAAGGGTGTGTGTGTGTGTGTGTGTGTGATATTTTCAAGGCTTCTGGCACGTTCTAATCATTAACAAATTAGTGGTCAATAAACTAGTCTGGGCTTTAAAAGATAGAGGATGATTCTTCACTAAAGACAGATGACGTCTACTTGGGAGAGGCAGTATAGACAAGTTATAGCAAGTCACCTAGAAGTGCTTCCTACAGTGTCTATTAGGAGCACGTGCAAAGCTGGTTCAAACAGACCTCTGGGCTCCATCCCAAGAGATTCAGGTCCAATAGGTTTGGATAAGACCTGAGGTTCTTTATTTATAACACATTCCCAGTGACTCTGAAGCTTCTGGTATGAGGAGCACCCTTCAAATGCTGGAGCTAAGGCTCTAGAGCCTACTTCCTCAAGTTCAAATCCTCAGGGTGCCTTTAAGTAGCCTAAAGGTCAAGTTACTTGACCTCTCTCTGTCCACAGTTTGCAATGAGGATAATAATAGTACTTTATTCTTGAAGCTGCTTTAGGGTTAAATGAGTTAATTCATGCAAATCACTATTTGCATGAGGATAGATATATTTATGTACTCCATAAATGCATACTTTTATAATTATTCACTTATAATCATCCTTACCACCAAGGAAAATTACAGTTGTAAGAGACCTTAAAGGTCTGCTAGTTTTTAGCTGATATCTAATTGCCTCTTCTATAATTTCCATCCCATTATTTTTATACTTAATTTTATTACATTTAATAATAAATGTTGAAAGCCAGGCAACTGAGTATTTTTCCACTTTTCTTTGATTAAAAGGATTCTCAATTGAAACTACAGCCCAACTCAAGGAAAGGAATGAGTTGTGACATCATGCATTCCTGATTTAATCTAGCTTAATTCTACTCTTTACTTTTATTCTACCATACCTAATTCGTCATATTTACCAGCTTCTTTTGTGTAACCGACTTAGTACTCCATATTTCTGTACACTGTCTCAACACCCTTGTATTAAATGAGCTTGGGGTTGGGGACAAAGCTCAGTGGTAGAGTGCTTACCAGCATGCATGAGGCTCTGGGTTTGATCCCCAACATGGTGGGGGATAACTAATTAATGATAAAATAAAGTGAGGTGGTTTAAATATAATCTAGAAATTAATTATTATTAAATATTTATTAATTGATAATATTAATAATTAATTACTTTTAATTAATAAAGACTTATTTGAATATGTGATCGCAAAGATGCAGGCACACATAAACAATGAATGAAAAGGAAATGAAGTGACAAAGACACAGAAATGAGGACAATGAGGTGGAAGGCTTACGGGAATGGCAGGTCTCTCCAGTGTAACCTGTGCCCTCGCAGTTGCAGGAGAAGGTGTCCCAGGACTGGGCACATGCACCCCCATGTTCACAGAAGCTGGGCAGGCATCTGTAAGGAAACAGATACGGCTGTAGTCTCCTTGGTGAGTCTGCATAAAATAAAAATCCTCTTTACTAAAAATAGATTAATGCAAAAGTATAGCAACCCAAGAAAATGCCATGTTACTAGTGATTTGTCATCAAGATTTTCTGGTCACCATGATATATTTATTTAAATACATTTACTGGCCTATAACTGATCATTATGTATCTTTGACAACTTTCAACACGTCATATTTTTTTGTTGTTGTGACAAAATACTAACTTAATGTGTGGCTGGCAAAATCAACTACAAATATAAAATTTGCCACGCATTATACTTCATTGTGGACATTTTTCAAAGAAGAGGAGACAGAGAAGGAGGAGAGGAAGACAGGAGCACCTTCCATCATAATGCAACATAGCTCCAGGAATCGTGAAGAACATTTAACTTAGGTCCACGTGTTGCCCTTTAGATTTAGAATGGGTGATCAATTAATGGTAGATTTAACAATGTTAAGATCCATCTGTGGATTCAATGCAATGTCTATAAAATTGTCAATGGCTTTAAATTTTTATTTTTAGAAATAGAAAAATTTATCCTAAAGTACATGGGGAGTCTCTGGGGACCCCGAATAGCCAACACAATCATGATAAAAAACAGAGTTGGAGTTCTCGCACTTTCAGAGCTTTCTGGATTCTGTTGCATCCCACTGTAAAGTTGCAGAGGCTGTTCCAGCCTACTGGCCTCCAGGTTCTTAGAAGAACTTGGAGAAGGGTGCTGGGTGAACGGGCAAGTTTCTAAGCATAGTGTGGAGATTCCAGGGAGAAATGGTGGCCTCCCAGAGGCTGTGTTGGGATCTGCCCCTGCCCACCTTGTCCCATGGCTGAGAATGCTGCTCAGGAGATAGGAGGGAAGTGAAGGACCTAAACACCACTGGCCTTCTGCGCTGTAGGCCCAGCACTTGGAGGCCAAGGCTGCGAGGGGAAAAGCAGTGTGTACTGGAAAGGCAGGTGCAGGGGAGCTAGGACCTGGCCCTGCCTGCAGGGGCCCAGAGCAGGAGCCGGAGAGGGGCGGGGAGGAGGGAAGTGAGACCTCCTGCTTGTGGCTGGAGGACCAAGGCGAGGCAGGAAGCTACCATGTGGACACTGGCAGGAGTCTCCAGGGGCTTCAAAGGGATCCTTCCAGGAAACTGAAAAGGTTGTGGAAGAAGAGATCACGAAATTACCTGCCCGTGCCCCCAGCACCCCCACGTGCTGGCACCCCAGCAAAGTACCACAAGTTTAAGGTCAAGATTTTGACTAATTACCTCAAGTTAAGGAGAGTTTAGTCTAAGAGGAGAATAATTATGGGCAATCAGCATCACAATTTTCAAATATTTCAAGGGTCAAAGTATGACAGGTATCCAAAGCAATGAGTAGATGTCAGACTGACAGGTAAGAAGGTGGGAGGCCGGGGTGGAGGAGGCCCATTGGCAGGTGTCCTCCTCCCCTTCCCATTCTCCTTGCCCATGCCCCTCTTCCCCTTCTCGTTAACATATGGAAAATTTTAAGATCAACCTGACTTGAAGATTCCACAAATCATAAGAAGATTACAAACCACTGCTGATAATGTAGTTTTACTTAAAATATCTTAGAAGAACTATTAAGTGATCAGAAACATATGAGCAGGCTCATCATAATTTTTTTCAACTAAACATGTCAGTAATTTTACTTGTAGTACAGAGAAGCCACCCAGAGTAAAGGAGACTAATGCTGGAGAAAGTGTGCAGAGGTGGGGAGCCTGTGCCACCTGGCAGTTCTAGTGGGGAGGTAGCAGGCCTTCCTGTTCAGGGAGCTCCAGGTGGCCTGGACCATGACACAGGGCATGGAAGGCAAAGGTGGACTTTTTTTTTTTTTTTTAACGCTAAGGTCATGAGAGTCTGAAGGAAGAGGCCGTGCTCTGCAGCATGTCATCCTGAGTACACGTGGCTGTTTTTTGCTTAGCCTAAAATTTTGGTAAAAAAGGCGACTTCATATCCCGTACCTTTAGTAGGCTTTTTAGTTTTGGTGTTTGAAGGACATATTTCTATTTTGTGAATTAAAATAATTTTTAATTCCCCAAAAGGGCGAGAGTGGTTCATAGACCTGTGTTCAGGATATTTAGAGGTGAGTTTTCAGGATTTCCAAACTGAATGAGAAGGGAAATAGCAAAGCTCTTTTACTCTTTAGAGTATCACTTGGTAGCACCAGGTTTCCCATTTTTATTGCTTATGATATGTAGTTGTTTTAAAAACATGTTGAAGGGCTGGACTCTATACACTGACCCAAGAATGAAAGAGTGAATAACCCACATTTGTAATCCCATTTGAAAAGAATTTAAAAGTGTTCTTTAAAACCCTTCTCTGAGCCGGGCACAGTGGCATACACCTGTAATCCCAGTGGCTCTGGAGGCTGATACAGGAGGATCATGAGTGAGCCAGCCTCAGCAAAAAGTGAGGTGCTAAGCAACTCAGGGAGACCCTGTCTCTAAATAAAATACAAAATAGGGCTGAGGATGTGACTCAGTGGTTGAGTGCCCCTGAGTTCAATCCCTGTTACCAAAACAACAGGATAATAGCAACAAACCCTTCTCTGAAGTGTTACAGCGCACAGTGGCTGAGGCAGCATATCATGGCGGAACACATGACAGAGGAAGCTGCTCACCTCATGGCAGCCAGGAAGCAAAGACAGGAAGGGGCGGGTCCCAACTTCCCCTTCCAGGGCACGCCCCCAGTGACCTAACTTCCTTCCTCTAGGCCCCACCTCCTGAGGTTTCTCCATTCCCACCTGAGGAAGCCGTTAACACATCCAAACCATAGCGCTGCATAACAGATAAGATGTGAACAGATCACATCTGGGGTCTTTGACAAGATATCAATGACTTACAAAAGGAGAAAATCACACATTTGCATCACAGCTGAGCTGACTGCCCTCAGTCCTCACAGTGAGAGCCCTGGGATACCTCCCCGTGAGCCTCTGTTGGCTGAGGGTCCTGCATCTTGCCTGGTGAGCTGGTGCCCAAAGAGCAGGTGACCAGCTCCATGGCATATCTCCAGACACAGGTGACCAGCTCCCAACCACCATCCCCATGACACAGCCTGGTCCCGTCCATGCAGTCCTGAGTCTCTGCCAAGAATTCCAACCCCACAGGCAAAAGTAGGAGTTATTGGGAACAATTGTTTTGTGATACACTCTTCCTCCTTGACTGGCTGTTTTCCTACAAATCAACAGAAGTTTCAAGGGGGAAATTATTCTTGGTTAAATCAAGTTCTTAGTAGTGAAAATTTCAATCCGTAGAAATTATTTTCTTTTAAAATATCACTATGCTTTGTAAACCGAAACATGTTTAGGGGGAGAAGACAGTTTTATGGCTAATGTTTAAAGCAGAATGACTAACGAACTACTTATAAAGTAGAAGGCAGTAAGTTTGGACATTCTAAAATTTGTATTAACTTTTTATTTTTAATTTATAGCATTAATTCTTGGCTTTATTTTATTTTAATTGACATTAAAGCTGTATAGGTTTGTGGGGTACTGTGTGATGTTTCCACACTTATAGTTACGTGTCATAATCTGCATTAATTTATTGATGGCACATGCCAAGGGGAAGGCAATAAGGCATTTCATATAGAGAAATATCATTCAGGTAAGTGATTATAACTTTTCAGCCAAAAGTAATAGAGATAAGGCATAACTGGCAGTATGAACTGTGTGAAGGCTTAATTTTTAAAAATTAAAATATTTTTCTTGCAGTCTCCATATTTCACTGAGTTTGTCAGTACACAACTATCTTCACCAACCTCTGTGGCTCAAACTGTTACAGAGATTACTTCATATCTGCTCCATGGAATAGATTTGGTATTTGGTAGCTGACCCCACAAATGAAAACAACAGTGCCTTGTCCAGACACACTGCCCCTCAGCATGGCCACCCACAAGTGGCATGGTGGCCAGCACTGGGTTGATGACTAAGAGCCCAGTAACATGGGGCCATTTTTAGTTAAAATTCCTAAGGTATACATAAGCCTTTTTATTAAATGCTATCATTTGAAAAACACAGTTTATACAACTAAAAATGAAGGTTTTGAATCCTCACTGTAATATGACTATTTTATTCCCTGCAGAAAGATAGTAGATAAAAAGAGAGAATAAAATAAGAGAATGAAATTCACTTTTCCCCCATGCGTCTGCCTTTTTTTCCTTTTAGCTTTGGAGGCAGGGCTGCTGAGATGGCCCAGGAGGCCCCTACCTGTCGGTGATGCTGCAGGCGTCTATCTGAAGATCGCTGAAACTCCCCAGCGCCCCCTGCTGTACCGAGATGGGATCCACCACTGTGCCACCAATGGAGATGAGCCTCAGGCATCCTTGAAACCCTCCCAGAAGACTTGCACATCCAGAGCCTGAGCTGTTGTCGGGACAGCCTGCACACAGAGACAAAGACAGGAGGAAATCCACAACCTCACCAAGCTAGTCCACAGCATTTATTCTGAGGACTGCAGCTTCCCCTGTTTACGGATTCTTGAAGAATGAATTTTGATAGGAGGTGACACATTACATCACTCACTAGATAGGTGAGAAGGACACAAGTCAGAGTTGATCAAATGTCGGATAATACCTGGAATTCAGAAGTTTAAAAAGTGTGGGGGGGGTAAGATTTAAAATTCATGACAAGGAATTAATGTACATCAAAAAGAAGAGATGTTTGGCTTTTAAAATTTCATCGAAGAAGAAATAATATATTTTGGCATCATGTAGCATTAGTAAGAGAAATTAAAATGAAGGTGAAGTTAAAATAAGTCAAGTCATAGCCCATATTTCATGTAAGAGCCTCTGTATTTATGAAGTGTGGAAAATGCTACTTAAAAGTATAGTTGGATGCTCCTATGTATCTAAACATGTTTAATATCTACCCTGGAGATGTTTTTGTGTGTTAGAATGTGTGTGCATTTGAGAATATTTTAAAACTAGTTTTACATTGACTGAACAGAAATACTTAGATTGGCTTTTCTACTAACAGAATTATTTTGTTAGATGCTTTAGTCACATATATAACCAAAGACTACATTCTAGTGTTAACAACTTAGTACAAAAAGAAAAAGGAGACACCTCACTTCTAGGGCACATAATGATAAATAAAAGAACAGTATAGGCTGTTCCATGAGCGAACAGAAATTAAACAGACACTTGATCATTTCCAATATAATAAGTTAAATGTTAAAAGTCTCATCACACCCATCAACTAACTTACAAATGGTAATGCTTATGATATAATTTACCTTGACCGTGTGGGCTTTGTGGAAGAGCAATACTTACATTAACAAGTATGAGCAAGACCACAGCTTTGATTTGAATTAGGCAATATTACCCACACATAAATTCAAACATGTAGAAAATTAGTGATCTGAACTCTCCCACCATCTGCTGAGCTACAGTACATAACTTGATAATGGAACTTAGATTCACGTGTTGCCAGATTAAGAGAAGGGATAAAAGTGCACACTACTATTAAAGAAAGGAAAACATTACAAAGGGACTTGTTGCAGAATCAAATTACAAGGCATTTATCTAAAACAAGAGTCTGCAAATGTTTTCTGTAGGAGGCTAGGTAGTAATGCTTAAGGTTCTGAGGAGCACAATATGATCTCTATCAAATATTCTCCTTGCTTTTTCTTTTTCTTAACAACATTTTAAACATATGAAACAATTCTTTGCTTTGGCCTATATAATAAGTCATGGGTCATAGATGGTCTAATTTTGATTTAGTAAATATTGTTGTGATTATGAAATGGGTGCCTCATTTCTTAATGGCACAATGCCAAATACATCATAAATCAAATTAATAATTTTGATTGTGTATCATGAGATTTTAGCTTTTGAAATTTTTTATTATTTGCCCTATTTTTAAAAAAACTTGTTTGTGTTGACTGCACAGCATTATTCTTTTCAAGCTTATGGAATCTAATTTCTTTATTTTTTACATCATTTAAATATTAGGTATTGCCAGGTGCATGCCTATAATTCCAGCAGCTTGAGAGGCTGAGGCAGGAGGATGATGAGTTCAAATCCAGCCTCAGCAACTCAGCAAGGCCTGAAGCAACTCAGTGAGACCCTGTCTCTAAATAAAACACACACACACAAAAGGGGTGGGGATGTGGCTTAATGGTTCAATCTCTAGTACCTCCCCCCCAAAAAAGTAAATGCCATAGCTCTATGGGTTCTAGATTGATCTGTAACTTGGAATTTATTTCTTTATTTTACCAGTGTGACCAAAGGTACATTTATTTTCTAGCTTTTTATCATGGATTATTTAACATCTGTGCATTACTCAAGAACTATAATTCAAATAAAACCTCAAAGTATCAAACTTAATTCAACAATTGCTTGAAAAAAAAGAATTAAAGAATGATTACAGAACATAGGTGGTTTTCATTCATCTGTCTTTGACTTTATGTTATCGATCACTTGTACAATTTCAAAGAACAGGCAATGAAGATTCTTTTTATTGGAACCAAGGAATTAATTCAATCAATGAATGGAATGGAATAAAATCCTCTTAAAGCTTGCAATGCACAATGTTTGAGAAGAATCTGGAGTTGGGCACTGGAGTGCACACCTGTAATCCCAGCAACTTGGGAAGCTGAGGCAGGAGGATCACAAGTTCAAGGCCAGACTCAGCAACTTAGAGACCCTGTCTCAAAAATACAAAATAAAAGAGACTGCGGATGTAGCTTAGGTGGTAGGTGGGAGAACACTCCTGGGCTCAATATTCAGCAGCAGCAGCAGTAGTAGTAGTAGTAGTAGTAGTAATAATAATAGGATCATGTGGTCTTCAATGTATTAAACTGGGTAATGAACATTAGCTGTACCAGAGGCTGTTTCTATGTTAAGAAATGATCTATTTCTAATTCATGTGCATCAATTCAACTTAACCACTTTACATTGTAAAAATGGTTAAATCTATTGTTTTCCAAGGTTTACATTCAAATGGGTAAATTCAGTTAAATAGGCATGCATAGAGAAAATTCAAAATTTACTAAAAAAACAGACAAGCTCAAGAATATTTATAAAAGTAATTTTTATATAATTTTATAAAAAACAAAAGCAGAGAGGACAATTGTCTAACAATAGTCAAATTGAAGAGCAGAGGTAATAAATAAGATAGGTGTATTCATGTAATGGAATAGGTACATTCTTTTGAAAAATATTAAATATTTTCAAAATATTTTTGTAATGATCTTAGTAAAAATAAACACTATTATGACATAAATAAAAGTAACAAGCATGTATTACATTAGCACATATATATTTATAGAAATGTGCTCTTGAATGCCTGGGCATTATTATAACTCACAGGCAGAATGTTAAACTGTAAGTGGTGATACAATATTCATTGTCTGACAAATAATAATAATCTCCTGTAGTTAATTTTATTTGTTATTATAAAGAGTTTGGATGGCATTTTCCCTCCTACCTGTCAGAGCTTCATAAACTCTTACTTTTGAAATGATAGTTCTTGGCTTTATTGACTATTTGCCCCTTAGGGTTGTTATAAAATCTATCACATGAAGCAACATCCTAAAGCAACTTTGGTCAGATGTGCACTCCTCAGAATGGGAGGGAAGAGAGCAAGCAGAGCTTCACAGGTGGACAGTGTCCTGCACTCGCTCACAGGATGGTCCATGTTGGAACAATGGGATGCATGATGTGTGGGCTTGCCGTCAATTTTAAAGATGAATTTTCCTTTAATATTGCACTCTCTCCATCAAAACAACTCTAGGAAGAAAGTGGCAAGATGTGAAGCTGTCCTGATGCCATCAGCAGCTGGAGCACTGATTGGCAAGTACATCTTACTATTGGCAATTTGAATGACATGAGGACCTTCCATGTGAACATCCCAAAGATGAAGATTTATCACACCTTCCTTAGCCTCCCTTCTCTGAGCTCCCTCTCCAAGGCTGTGATGTTTTTTAGCTGCACTCAAAGAGCCGGCAGATATTCTGCTTAGGAAAGGTTGCCATGTTCCTTGATTTAGTAAAATGTTTCCCTTGTTATTCCTTAGCAATAAAGGAAAGTTGCAATCACTGGTAAAGTTAAACTATTAGTCACTTTGGACAAAACATGCTTTTCATTTATCAGGTGCAAGAAATACCTAAGATATTCTAGAGAAGCCAAGGCTCTGGGGAACATATGTACCATGTACCATGCAATAAAACAGGCGAAAAAAATAAGTACTCACGATCATTTATCATTGTGACTGTCCTATGGAGCAGCGTGATGAAGTGAAGCTCCATAAAGGGTGGCCTGTTTAAAATTGTCCCCACACATGACCCTTTAATGAAGCTTATCTGGTAGACATGCATTTCAGTTCATAATTCCCAATCTCTTTTCATCATCCCCATTAAAAACAAAGTAAGCCAGCATGGTGACTGTAGTTAATCATACTGTATTGTTTACTGGGAGCTTGATGAGAACAGATTTTAAGTGTCTTTAGTCCTCCTCCCACACACAAATGGTAACTGTGAGTGGTGGGATGGATGTGTTAATAAATTTGACAGTGGTAATCCATATACGATGTTCGTCTATGTTATGTATACCTTATACACACACACACACACACACACACACATATATACATATATATATGTATATATATATATATATATATATATATATATATATACACACACACACATATGCATATATATATATATATAATTTTTGCTAACTAAATATTTTTAAAAAGAAATTTAAAAAATCAAGGGGCTCCTGGCAGAGTGGCAGCAGCAGGGGGCTAAGGCCTGACCTCTGGTGGCCAGCTGCACAGTAGTGTGCTGGGGTCCAGGAGGAAGTAGCCAGTAGCTCTAGCCTTGCAGGTGGATCACCCAATGCTCTATCTCCACATGGTGTCTCTCTGGGTGTTCTCCCTCTGTGTTTCTCTGTGTTCTCATTTCCCTTTTTTATTTTGGCTCCAGGGATGGAACCCAGGGGCACTTAACCACTGAACTATGTCCCCAGCCCTTTTTATCTTTTATTTTGAGACAGGGTCTCACTAAGTTGCTGAGGACCTCACTAAATCTCTGAGGCTGGCCTCAAACATGCAATCCTACTGCCTCAACCTCCCAAATTGCTGGACTATAGATGTGCACCACCCTGCCTGGCTATACCCCCTGCTTTTTAAAAGTAAGGACACCTGTCGTATTAGATTGGAGGTCATTTTAATGACCTCATTTGTTTAAATTTAAGTTTTTAAAAATCAATTGTACTTTTTGTTGTTATGTAGATTTGTTTATATCTATGAACTTCAATATGACATTTCAATTCATGTATACACTGGGTAATGAAGGATCAACTCAGGATAAATAGCATGTCCATCACCATAAATTTTTATCATTTCTTCCAGGTGAGTACATTTAAAATCTCTTCTCTCTTTTGAGATATGCAATGCACTCCTGTTGACTATTCTCATCCTTCCCCCAGGCTCCAGTAACCATTATTCTACTCTCAACTTCTATGAGATCCACTGTTTTAGATTCACAAGAAAGTGAGATCATGCAGCATTTGTCTTTCTGTGCCTTGCTTATTTAAAATAATGTGCTCCAGGTTCATCCATGTCATAGGAAATACCAGATTTCACGATTTTTTGCACCTGAGCACTATTCCATTGTGTTTATATACCATTTTTAAAAAATCATTTATCTGCTGATGGACAACTGGGTGCATTCCATATCCTGGCTGTTGGGAACAGTGGTGTGACACCCTTGTGAGTGCAGGTGTCTTTCTGACACACAGATGGCATTTCCTTTGGCTATAAGCCCAGGAGCAGGATTGCTGGGTCATAGGTAGCTTGGATTCTAGTCTCTTGAGGAATGGCCACACTGTCTTCCCTACTGGCTGTGCTAATTTACATTCCCACCAACAGAGCATAACTTGCTCCACCCTCACCAGGGAAGACCTATTTCCAGATACTGTCATAATCTGAGCTCCCTGTGAATCTGAGGGAGGGACAAGCCAACCCATCTCATTGCCTCTGAAGAAAATAGGATTTTACCTGTGCACATGCCCACTTGGGTTGTGGTTGCTGCGTATCTATTTCAAACAGTTATTGACACTTCCTATATGTTTGGATCAAAGGTGACTTTGGTCCTGGGTCAGCCTCACCATTTCTAACACTTTATCTGCTCTATGGCTCATGCTCACGTTGTTATGTTAGCTCTGAGACCACCCATAATCTAAACAAAACAGAACAAAACCATTGTTCTGACATTTTAACTTTCTGTTGAAAGGATGAGGAGTTGTAGGGATGAGATCCAGTTTCCTTACTGGTCAGCAGGGGCCTCTTGATCCTTCTGGCTGTCTGTTTTCCTAGTCACATTGCTGGATCCATCTTCTAAACCAGCAACAGCACAGACGTCTATTTCTAATCTGCCTGAATCCTCTGTCACACCTCCCTTGGGCTTCTCTGCCACCAACCAGCATCAAATCCCCAAGTGCTCTTAAGATTCCATTGAGCCTGCCTGGATAATTCAGGATAATGTGCCCATGTCAAGGTCTGTAACCTCAATTACATCTGCAAAGTCTTTTCAACCATGTAACACGTTCATGGCTTCCAGGGATAAGGGCAGCTCTGGGGGGAGCTCTGCCCACCCAAAATGTTCACACATTCCTTCATGAAATCCTGTTGGCTTTCATGTATTTGTCTATTGAGACACATGAAATACTTTCTGAAGGACATGGGAACACGTATGAACACGCATTCCCAGAGAGTGCCACGGCTCACATTTCCTATTGTCTGTTCAGCGGGTTCTCTCTGGACCTTTTCCATCTGGGCTAACCGTTGTGCAAACAAAGCCACTTGGATCACAATTCCGTCATCTGCTCTCATTATACAGATTTTTGTCTTCATCTTCACAGAATATCCCGAACAGTTTATTGTTCATCTGCATTTGGTTGGAAATTTTTTTTATTAGAGATAATTATTTGACAATATCACATCTTTTGAGAGCAGACGTAAGGGGTATCTTGTAACTCATATTTGGAAATCCTGAATTTAGCATCATCCTCAACATGCAAAACTCCTCAGATGGCCAGCAATCTTGGACCACCATTCCTAAAGCTAACTGAGCATGGTCCCAAAGGTTGGCATGTGTAGCGGCATTTTCTATTTATTTATTTAGAGGACTCCTTATATTATCATCCATTCAAGATCAGTCAAGATGCTAATTCCTTGATGTCTTGAAACTGAAACTCCTTTTGTTTACCCAGAGAAGTGGAGCATCTAACTATAGATACAGGTGTACAACTGTTAAGAGGTAAATTGAGGAAAAGTAAAATGTGAAGTGTTTTATTTGAGCTAAGAACAATTCTCAAGTGAGGCAGCTATAAAAGGGAGTTGATTCTGCCATGAGGGTGGAATGGGAAGGCTTTGTTCTCAAACATGGAAGTGAGCATCTGCTTTCTGTATACACAAACACACACACACACACACACCGATTGTTTGGTTATACAACTGCCCATTTGGTATACCATGCTGGAAAATCCCTGTGTACGTAAGTTAGTTGGTGGCTTCTGATCTATTAACATCAGTTTTGAATTTTTGAAAGACAGGCATTTTCAAGAAATAAACCAAGATAAATTTTACCTTATGTTTGCAAATCAAACACGGTTAAGGTCACTTATGAAGCCTAACTAGCTTTGTTTGCTCAGGGATTTTTTTAGGTCATTTCAATTTACTGTAACAGTATAAATATACACTCTGTGGCACAAAACAGCTTAGTGAAGTCTTTGAATATATGTGGTTATTTGTTTGAAAATGTACATGTTCATTGTGAAATACACACGCACACACACACACACACATATCAGAAGGCAATTGTGGAATGTATGCAAAAGAGTTTTTCTACTAGGTCTATATTCCTGAGTATATACGATTCTTCATTTTGTAGGAAAGGAGGGATGGGTGATGGGTGGGGGATAGCTCAGTGGTAGGATGCTCACCTAATATGCACAAGCCTTGGGGTTTGATCCCCAGGACCTCAAAATTAAAAAGGGAAAGAAAAAGAAAGCGGGGTGATGTAGTTCTGTGGAGCACTCCAATAACACATGGTTGCATTAGTTAAGTGGCCCTGAGTGTTGGGGTATCCACCAACTGTATGGTGAGAAGTGCGTCCACATTCCCCTGGAATCTCCTCCTGGGTTGAAAGCTCTCTTACTCCAGAATGAGTTTCCTTTCCCATAGGTAGTTTTCTTTCCCATAGTTTTTTTTCCCCATAGCTGGTGTCACTGTGGCACGGTGACAGTCCTGCCATGCACAGGTATCTGTGCTCCTTTGTGTGGTTTCCTCACCTGTTTCTCTTCACTTGGCTTTCCGGGTATACAAGCCTAATCTGGAAGGCACATCTCGTCTCACGGAAGCATCTAGGATCCACGACATTGCTTTTAGGGTTTCTTTTAATAAAAAAAAAAAAGAAGCAAAATTTCCTTCCTAATAATAGATCCGTGCTGTCCATCGGGTGCCTTAATCAGTTCAGATGGCGACACTGAACACCACCAACTGAGTGCTACTTAATGTCCCACAGTTCTGGAGAGGGGCAAGTCCAAGATGAGGGCCATGGGAGACGTGGTGTGCAGAGGGCCTGCTTTCTGGTTCACAGGTGGCCACCCTCCTGTTGGGCTAGAGAAGTTTCTGGGTCCTTTTATGAGGGATCCCAATCCCATTCTTGAGGTTCCACCCTTATGACTTAATTATCCTCCCAAAGTTAAGATTTTACCATATGGATTTAGGGAGCATATAAATATCTGGCCCTTTGCACCAATGTAGCACCAATTGCACTATGGCTACATTTAGTATACTTGTGTCCTATTTATTCATTTGATGTTCAAAAAATTCTTTACAGTATATTTTATACTTCCTATTACTCCCTTCCTATTAAAAAATATCTATTTATCCATCTATAAACTGAGCAGTATAAAATGATTAAATAATATGAGTTGAAGTATATGTATCATAAGATTTTAAGTAAGCCAATGACTTTGGACAATATGATTTATTTGATTTTTTAATATATTTTTTTTAGTTGTAGTTGGACACGTACAGTACCTTTATTTTATTTATTTATTTTTATGTGGTGCTGAGGATAGAAACCAGGGCCTCGCACATGCTAGCCGAGAGCTCTACCACTGAGCCACACCCCAGCCTGATTTATTTGATTTTTAAAAGCTGTTAGAAGTCTAAAATCATCTGTTGTAGAGAATTTGCTTATGACATTTGCCGTCTGAAAAAATTCCACTTGTTTCCAGTTTACTGTGTGTAGCTAGCATGTATTTTCTTTTAACATTATGTGAAATTATGAGGTCATTGAAACAGTAAGTAAAGTTACTGGAGGGATTGATTTTTCCATCAGTAATATTAATAAATTAAACTTTTTAGATATGTTATAGAAGGAGAGAGATCATTTCTTAATATGAAGTGATTTAAATTGACAAGAGACCCTGGATGCAGGCAGGGCAGTAAAGATAAACATGGTTCCACTGTTCCCTGTAGTTGACCTGTCTACACTTACCTCCAAAATAATAGGTGTTGCTGGAACCCGTCAGCCCCGTCACCAGCGGTTGGAGAGCCATGTCACTATCCACCACCACACTCAGGTGGTTCCAGTTGGCAGACAGGGACACAGAATGCCACTGCCCGTCATTGAGCCCAGCACCTGGAGGGAAGGTCGGTGAAAGGCAACGATGAATTATGAACTTTGTAAACACTTGAAAACAATTTTTCAGACCACTGAATCAGTCCAGTGAGAGCAGTATTTACATGTTGATATATCACGGGGAAAAGGAAAAATTAGCTACCTTTCTTTAATGAAAGGATTTCATTTATTTTGACCAGAGCAAACAGGTTAAAAATATTACTCCTTCTAACGAGTCACTTAATAAATTCTGATAATATGCTTAAAGTAGCACCTTGAATTTAATGATCAGACATACATGCCCAAAGCCTTTACCCATAGGATTCAAAATGAAGTTTATAAGGTTCAGTCTTCAAAGGGAATATTTACTTGCTTCACTAAATCTAATAAAAATAAATATTCTCAAAGAATCAGGAGATAGTTGTTCAAATTAAGTCAATAATAATTGTAGCCAGGTGTGGTGGGTGGCACATGCCTATAATCCCAGTGACTCAGGAGGCTGAGGCAGGAGAATCACAAGTTCAAGACCAGTTTTAGCAACCTAGCAAGGCCGTAAGCAACTTAGTGAGACCCTGTCTCAAAATTTAAAAAAAATAAATAAAAATAAAAGAATTGGGGATGTGGCTCAGTGGTGGTTTGATGGCCCTAAATTTAATCCCTGGTACAAAAAAAAAAAAAAAGAAGAAGGAGAAAAACTGTAAAAGTCTTGAATGGGAGAAAAGGTCATTAAGCACCCACTATAGTGCATCCATCAAGGTCAACTCTGCTTTCACTGTTTGAGGGACTTCAGACTAGTTGAGCGAAACTGGTGGTAATGCAAAACGATTTTTGTCCACAGAAATGCAAATTATTGTGCCTGTGAGATACAATAATTAGTTATTGATGATGTTGTATCTGTTTGTAAACTCATTTTGTCATGCCTTGTCAACCAGTATGCATGGTACTTGAAACTCTCCTTTGAACTGATTGGTTCATCTTACTGGTTTCCTTGTAACTAATAAGCTAAATAAAATATTTTTAAAATTTATTTTTATTTTTAGTTGTCAATGGACCTTTTATTTTACTTATTTATATGTAGTGCTGAGAATCGAACCCAGTGTCTCACACATGCTAGGGAAGCACTCAACCACTGAGCCACAACCCCAGCTAAAATCTTTAACATATGTCCCTGTGTTCTCTGAATGAGAGCATTACAATTACAGATATCATTGTACCTTCTTTTATTTAATATTTGATTTAAAATGCTTAGGAAGTAACTAGAGGCAGACCTTACATGTAAGTACACTATTTTTATATATTTATATTCATATCCATATTATTATATCATATTATTTTGAAATAATATGATAGCATGATAAATTCTTTGATGACAACTTTAAGCACTAAGCATTTATAACTACTACAGGTAGACTATTATTTTCCTTCATTAAGTAATATGTCAAAGATACGTTCCAATAAATGGATTAAAAGTGTAAAATTAGCCTGTTATGTGAACACTTCATTGGTGTTTCAAAATTAGGCAAAAATCTTAAGGAGTCAAATCTATTAACCTCTAGGTTATTGGGAATTTTTTAAATACATTTAACATTTTAGATGATGATCTTAGGAATCCTGCTAATTATTAAAATTGTTCTTGCTCAATTTATTTCCTTGCCACACATACTTTTAAAAAAAAGTTAATATATTATTAGCAAAATGTAGTGTGGCTCTTATATTTTAACGATTAACATTAATATTTCAGTTTTCCCTTTTAACCTTCAGTGATATGTGAAGCAGAAACAGAAATACTAAGAGTAATAAGGAAAAACTGCACTTTGAAACGCACCAGCTGACTAATGTCCTCAATGTAAACACAGGCCCTGTCTAAACACAATCTCTGGACTCCTTTGATACTGTGCATCTCTGTGCCTTTACCTTCTTTGAGTTCTTTTGCTACTGTTAAAACCGTAGAAAAGTCAAATTAAGTGAAAGATGGTTGTCCCCAGACATGCAAATAAATTTGGTGGAAACCCAACTGACCTCCTTCCTCCTCCCACCCAGTCCCACCCCAGGAAACAGACTAGTTTTATATTATATGTAAATTCATTGTCACTTTCTGCTTACATTATCTGTCATCCTCTGAATTATCCTTTGGATTTGTTGTAACATCTGGTTCCCTCACTAACTAATGAGTTAAATAAAAATCCTTGACATGTTCTTTTTATAACTATGTAAAATCCTGATAGTGCCCTCTCTAAAAATATCTTTGACAAATGAAAGTAAACTTGGTATAGTTTTTTTAAGTTTATCTTTTATCCTGCAAATAATTTCTTTTTTACTGTTAGGTTATAATTGGCCTTTGACCATAATTTATATCCAAGGAAATCATTCACAGTATTTATGAACATTTTAATGAGAAATCTTAAATTAATGAAGCAAGATTCTACAACAGAGATGCTTTTTTAAACATGTTTGCATGTGAAGGCGATCTCTTGTCAACAACTAAATTGGAAGCACAATGTCACTCTGGCAAATCCATCAGCTAAAGCGGTGGGTGTGTGGGTGTGATGTAAGGACTTTGTATTTAATTCTTGTTAGGGTGCAAACTGGAACTGGAGAAAACGCTTGCTCAGCACTTTGCCACATCTAGGAAACATGCAACACGTTAGCAATAATGTCTAACTACTGAAGGAAAAAATCTGAACAGATTTTGAAATGGACCAAAGAGGTGGCTGGGAATATTTTCAATGAAAGAATTAAGCTGATTTTATAATTCTCCATCTTTGACTAGGTATTTTACAACCGTGTAGGGACAGAAACTGACTTGTGGAGAACAGAGAGCAATGCATGTGAGACCTATTCAGAGACACACACGCAGTTCAGGGAAGGAACACAGGGCTTTGCTGTCCTTTGGACACTGACCAGTTTTGCTAGATTTGCTCTTATTTGCAATTTCATTTCAGGATTCCTTTTTCTGACTATAAATGTGAAGCATTTGGAGTTCTTTTTTGAACTGGCTTTCCTGGTGTAAAACACAAATCACTGGCCACAGTGGCACACGCCTGTAATCCAGATGGCTGGGGAGGCTGAGGCAGGAGGATCGCAAGTTCAAAGCCAGCCTCAGCAACATACAAACAAAAACTTCCTTAATGCCAAAGACTTTCACTCATGCTCCCTTTTCTTAGAACATTTCCTTTAGAAAACTTGTAAATTCTTCCTCTGCCTCTTTGATGTGTATGTAGATTTAGAAAAAAAAAATACTTAGTTTTAAAATAACTTTAGAAATCTTATAAAAAAAACTTATAAAAATTTGATTTAGATTCTTTGTAGTTTGACAACCTAGGGACATTTTTTTTTCTTGGGGTCCTGGAGACATTTCTTTGACATGTAGATTTGTAGATGTCTGTGTGGGGGTTTAACGAAGGTGCTGGTCCCACCTTGAGACTTACCTGCTTGTCAAAGAGGGAAGGGCTGTAGTTTTCTTCTGGATAAAACAAGGAGCCTTTACAGAGGTCTCCCCAGCTACCAGAGGAATTTAGTATGGGCTATTGTAGCAAAAGGCCCTGTTGGGTCCTCTTACTTAAAGAGGAGTTATCTTTTCTTGGTAGGAAATTCTTTATTAGAGCATATTAATTATACAGAGTAGTGGGCCTCACATTCTCCCATGAAGGTGACATGTTTTGGACATTCCCACACACCATCACCTCTCCTCCCACATCCTGTTCCTCTTCACTGATAGTTCCCTTCTACTTTTACGTGGTCTTGTTTCTTGGATTTTTCTTTTTTTTTTTTTTTCCTGCATTGGGTATTGAACCCAGAGGAGCTTAACCACTGAGCCACATCCCAAGCCCTTTTTATTTTTTTTATTGTTGGACAGGGTTTCCCTAGGTTGCTGAGACTGGCCTCAAACTTGTGATCTTCCTGCCTCAGCCTCCTGAGCAGCTGTGATAATAGGCATGTGCCACTGAGCCTGGCTTATTTATTAGATTTTTTTTTAACCTTGAGGACTTATGTGTAATGGGTGACATCTGGTTGGCTGCAGAGATGGATGAAATTTCTTTCTGTTTTTTATCGCCTTGTTAGCAATCACTGAGATGCGCATCAAAGACTCGTTTAATACTTATTCAATAATAAGACCATTTCATTCTTTTCTCTCTTTGTGAAGAAGATTCACTAAACTGGCAGGTGATCTCATTTTTATTTCCTCAGAATTGGTTCTGTTACTAGTGAATGAGTTGATCTTTGACATATATTTATTTTGTATATTTTGGGGGAAAAATTTCACACTTTTTTTCCAGGGGGGAATGCTATTTGTGAGGAAACAGAAAGTAGGTTTGCATTTTCAAAAGGTGAAGAATACATATTCAATCTGAATACCTCTGTTTTATCCTCAGTCATTTTTCTGGGATCAGAGGAGGGTAGATACAGATTCTAATATCTGGACTTGCTGGATCATTCCAGAAGTATCTGCCCAACAAAAACAGGTCCTGGGAGGGAGATGGGAAAAAGGGGGGCCCAATGGGGGGGGGATAACCATTATGCTAATAAAACCAGATTTCCTTCCTATTGTTCTCCCTTCTTTGAAAGACTAAGGTTTCCACTTCACAAGGGGAAAATAGTGAGGCTTAGGAGCATCTGTGATTTTTGAATTGCTGAGATTCTTCCTTGAACACAGGGTGTCTTGAAAATGGGTCAGCCTTCAGCAAAAGGGTAAGGACTCCTGGTATTTGCTGGCATCTTTCAGGACAAGGCAACAGTTATCAATTTGTCTGGTAGGCGAGTCAGCCATGAGCCGGTGGGTAGGGGAAGGACAACAGAGGGCAGTAAGAAACAGGGAAGACCTCAGACATCACTAAGAAAAATCCATGAGTCCCCAAACTGAGGCCACAGGGAGCCTGACTGGGCAGGCAGCCTTCTACAAAATGGCAGGGCTGGGGGGACAAACTGTCCAACCTTCGCCAACCCATACATAATTATGATCCCTTCAGGGAACTCTCGCTTGAAGTCAGGGGGAACTTTCATCAAAGCAGACAAGCTCCAGAGAGATGGGCCTTCTCCAAACATGGTTAATTATAATCCCTTAATGGAACTCCCAGTTCCAGACCATGCCACCACCATCTCTTGTAACCAGGTGGCCAGGACCCTCCCTGGTCACTAAAACCATGTTAAGACCACCCCTTGTGACCTGGTCATCAAGACCCTCACATAATTAACCACGTCAGGGGGTCCAAGAGAATAGAACAAGGACAAAGAAACTCAAACCCCTTAGAATCCTCAATTCTGTAAGGCCACTCCCTTCTCTTCAGAGACCGTCTGAGCCATTCAGTGTCTATGCTGTACGCTTCTCTCTTATTCTCACTTTCCCAAATGAACTCCTGCATGTGACTCGTCTGAGATCCTTCCTGAGATTGCAAGAACCCAGAGCTCAAAATCTCCACGGCTACTTCTGTGGATCTCCTCCTTTGCTGCAAGTTACCTACTGTGTAGAGAATACCTCTCCCCATAGCAGAAGAGGACAGCAGGCAGAGGGAGGAGGAGAGATGGAGAAGGGAGGAAAGTAACGGAAAAGTGAACATCTCTGTGTGGTATCTGCTTCACTAGGTCCCCCCCCCCAGCATTTCTACTGGATGGAGGCTGGGCACATGTTTATCAGGAAATGGAGCTTAAGTATACGACATATTTTTCTGATATATCAGAAGTAGATCTGCAGAAAAGTGCACTCCTTCCTTCCTTCCTTCCTTCCTTCCTTCCTTCCTTCCTTCCTTCCTTTTTTTCTTTTTCTTATTTGGTACTGGGGATTGAACCCAGGGGCTCTTAACCACTGAGCCATATCCCCAGCCCTTTTTATATTTTATTTAGAGACAGGGCCTCACTAAGTTGCTGAGACTGGCTTTGAACTTGCAATCCTCCTGCCTCAGCCTCTGGAGCTGCTGGGTTCTCATTTCTTATATATAATCATTTTGGGTCCAAGGATCACTACAGTGATGGCTACATGTCCCCCATATAAACAGTCTGGAAGATCCTCAAGGAAAATGGCCATCCTGTTCCTCCAAATAGGAGCATTAGGTGTCTTGTGACCTCAGGTATGGACTTAGTACACAATGATTCACCCTCTGGTGGGTTGTAAGGTTTATGTGAACATGCATTACCTGCTGTGACGTTCCTCAATGACTGTCCTGGCTGGAAGAGGCTCAGTTTGAGTTTTCCATCCTTAAGAAAGAGGAGAAAACTTCCCGCACCATGCCACAGTTCACCAAACAGCAAACGTCCTGCTTTGTTCCATGTACGAAACTGGAATGTGACAGATACTTTGTCCTCCCCAGAGTTGCCTGGCAGAGCCAGATAACTCCTAGAGCTCAGAAAAGTGACAGGGATGGTCTGTGGTTGTGGACATGAGAAGGACACATTTCCCTATAAATAAAACAAAAGGTCATGTTAGAGCTTCACGGTGCTTCTGTCTAATGAAAGATAGACTTTGCACAGATTTACAAGGGCTTTTATTTTTCAATCCAGAATGATATTAATCTACTTGATAAAGCTTGAATCTATTATATTTGTCTGATTTTCCAATGTAAGTATTATCATAATTGGGAAAACCTATCCTGATGACTTTGTATGAGTGTGTGTGTGTGTGTGTGTGTGTGTGTGTGTATGAATCTCCTCTATTCTACTTCTCAGCATTAGCAAAGGAATAGTGGTATCATCTAATTCAATAGGAGTTATTCTATTTCCGCCATTTTCCAGTCCTCTAACAGATGACAATGACCAGGACATTTCCATACTCTGACTGTTCTCCTGAACAACATTTGATCTTTCCTAAATAACATTCCTCAAAATGTGCTTTGTACCAAGTTCATTATTTTACTGATTTTCCCATTAATTAATGAGTCAATTACATTTTTGACATAAGGTTTTTCAACAATTACATGGTTCATATTTGTTTAGCTTTTGGAAAATTATACTTTGACAGTATTCCAAAATTTTTTTTCCAGCTCAGGCAGTTGTTACATAAAAAGTTTGCTTATAGTGTGTTTAGCATGAAGACATTAATTTTTATACTCAATCATGTCTCTGTTTTCTTGGGTAGCTTTTGAGTTTCCAGTTTGTTAGGAAAGTTTCATGCCCCCCACCAGGTTCTATGCATAATCACGCAGATTTTCTTCCAAGAATTGCTATCATTGTTGTTAGTTTCTCATCTTCCTGAAATTTACATATTTTGGTATATTCAAAATAGTGATCCAGGTTTACTTTCTGCCTTATGGACACTGGTCTTTTCCAGAAGAATTTATGAGATAGTTCCTCCATTTTCCACTGGGCTGAACCCTACAACTTGTTACTAACTTACAAGTAGACTGGGATCTTTCTGATGTTTTTGCTTTGTTCTACCAACTTGCCTAACCCTACCCAACACCATATTGATTCTTATGGGCTTTGGGCATGTTTTAATATCTGGCAAGTAAGGCACCATCTTTATGTTGTTCTTTATGTTTGTTTTTGTTTTTTATTTCAGGTGGTGGAAGGAAGGAACAGTGGTTATTTATTTACATGTATGAATTTCAGTTGCAGAGAAAAAGCAATTTTATTCTATTTGGAATTTTCTTTGAATAATTTTTATTAATATACTGTATATGATTTCGGGAGGGGGAAGCATTACTAAAGTAACATAGACAATCTAGGTTAGTAGTTCTCAAGCCTTGTTGAACCAGATGTTAAAAATCCACAACTGAACCAATTAATTCCCAGTCTCCTGGAGTGGATTGAGGTGAGAGCATCTTTTAGATCTCCTCTGGTGCCTCCAAGCTAAAGCCAGGTTTTAGAATTACTGATCCAAGGATTAAAGTCACTTTTAAGACTGAATCATATTTCTAAAAATTCTGTCTTAACGTACTTCAGAAACTAAAATAATTCAGCTTTCATTTTAAAATAATCTTCAATGTACATTAAAACTATATATATATATATATATATATATATATATATATATATATATATATATATAAATCAGAACATCCATTCTTGGCTTTTTAAAAAAATTCTACTGAATGTGATAAATTTTATTGTAAAAAAAATTTGCTATAATGAATTAAATATAAAAAGATGAACAGTAATAGACACTAACCCATAGTATAAATCTAATCATCAGACTATTATTAATTTTTTAAATTTTTTCATCAGCTGCAAATGGTAGGGATCCAGTCTGACCTGGCCACAGCCATCTTGAGTCATAACAATCATGGTCCCAGAGAAAGCAGGCCAGTTTTGTTCTGCACAGTTTTATAGCAAACTACAAATAGATAAGACCATCAGAGTGGTAGGTGGAGCTTTAGAAGCTGACCCTGGTGCAGGAATGAGCTCAGTTCTTTGGCATTAGCTTAAGAGAAGCCAGGAACATTCTGGCTTACATGAAGTCATTTTTGTCCTAATCCATACATATGCCCCTCCTTCTGACCCAAATTGTGGGGATGCATTGGTTTTGCTGCCACCCAGGATGGAGCTTCTGTCCATAAGACCCCCCAATAAACAGCACTCTGTGCAGTCCTGACTGTCTGCCTCTCCCTCTTTAGCTTATCGGGGCTGGGTTGTTCCAAACACTTGTCCTCATTGTTTAGGTGGTAGTTGCTTGCACCCATCCAGAAGTGAAGCTTCCTGCCACAGATCAGATGAGTGATGAGTAGGTGAATGAGTCAATTCTGACAATTGAATTTTCCAAATTACATATATATATATATATATATATATATATATATATATATATTCCTTTTAAATGTTGAAGCAACAGATTTTCTATTTTTATAAAGAACACCTGACATTGAAATAACTCTCAAAATGGAATTCTTAGATCTACCATTTTTTATTCCCATGCACAGTTTGGAAGGAATCTTCTTTTCACTTGTTTCCATGTCAAACTGATACATTTCACCATCTTCAACCAATGCAATTAATTAGTTAATAGTTTTCTTTAGAAGGATATTTAGGACCCCATAGGTGTCAGGGTTATTGTGGTTCTCCTGATTGGTTATAATCAGATGATAATTATGCCAAGAAATCCATCCATGATCCAGTGTAATATGAAATTTGCATGGCAAACAATGTCTGAGTCCCTCCAATAGTGTGGCTCCTTGTGACTCATTCTTAACTCATTCCTATTCACCTCAATGACAGTACATAGGGCAGCAGCCCCAAAAATGTCAGGGCGGGGATGAAGGACTCTTCTTTACACCAGGGATTGGCAAACACGAGATGGCTTGAAGTTCCAGAGGTGTTAGCTAGGTGTCTTGGTGTGGAGGCCCATTGTCCAGACACATCTTTGCATTAGATTGGTTTCTGAGAATGCACCTCTGGCAAAGCTGGTGTCAGTAACTGAGAGTCTCCCTTCTCCTTCCTGTCCCAGAAATATTCCGTGTCTCAGTTTCTCCAAGGACGGGGATTCAGGTAAAAGACTGTTCTTCCTTTATCTTTCACCTTGTCAAAGGTACCTGGATCCTTCTTATCAGTGTTCCCTTCGTGTTTCGCTTTTCGAGCACCTTGATGTTTTCTTAGCCACCATTTATGTTTCCTTGGCATGGTTCACAGTAGGCTTCTAACTCTTCCTCCTCCTCCTCCTTCTCCTCTTTTTTTCCCCTTCAGCTCCTTGGAAGATTCATGGGTCTCATGGCTATTTTTCCCCCTTTCTACCTGCAAACCCAAGTGAAGTATTCATTTTGTGGCCTGTTGAGCCAGAACCAAAGGTATTGTCAGATTTTGGTCCTAAATCCCATAAGCCAACTCCTTGAAGCCCATAAGAGGAAAGAAAACACTTTTTAAAACAATATCAGTAAGTAGTCCCGTGATGTGCTTCTGACACTTGTTGAACTGAACATGAACTTGCCCTGTAACCCAAAACTTAGGTATTTTTAATTTTAAACATGGAAATAAGTTTACTGATTTGGAAGCATTTCAAGTTATCTAGGGATAGCTCATTGGAGAATTTCATTGCAAAATAATTAGTCCCCTGAGAATAATAATACCCAAAATATTTGAGACATACAATGTCTGATCTCCATGCAAAAATAAGAAGTTACTTTACTTCATATTAACATGAAATAAGCATGCCCCGCAAGGCACATTTACTTTTTAGCTTTTTAATACATAATAAAAAACTTATATCACATGACACTGTTTAAATAATAAGAGTTGATTTTATGAATGTTATATGAAATGAACACCCAAAAGAAATATTTTAAGGGCACAAAACACTAAGAATTCATTTTCCTTCCCTTTCCTTTTAAGCTTCTTACCATAACAAGGACCTGTGGTTTGTTTTTCTTGGCTAATTCAACAATATCCACTCCATTATAATAAAGATTTTCTATACATCCATGAAAGTTTGTATGTGAGATTTCCAGGGACCCTGCAGATGTCGGGATTCCTCCAAAGCTGATCTTAGAAAGAAAAATGACATGAATAACATTGTTTAGTGATGTTTTGATTATCTCTTTAAAACAGTGATGGTTAACAGGTACAGCAATGGTGGTCACAAATCCATCTGCATCTGCTTATATTTCCACATTTGTTCATTTCAAATGAGGCCCCCTCTATTCTAAGTGGCACTTCTTGATGGTTTTATTTCCGGTACCAGACTTTGTGCATTAACTTAAAGAAAGCGGCAGGCAAACTTTCTCTATGAAAGGCCATGTTGTGAATATTTTTTGCTCTGCGGGTCACTTGGTCCCTTCTGCACCACTCCATAGTGTAGTTTTAGCACCAAAGCAGCCACAGACAACACATTTTGGAAATGGACATGTGTTCCAATGAAACTTTTTAAAACGACAAAATGGCTTCTTTAAAATAAGACCAGATTCGGGCCCATAAAGTGCCAACCTCTACACTGGGTCCTATCTTTTGTTATTACACAGTTAAGGTAATAAAACCATGGATGATCTGGTATAGACCAGGGTCTCTGTAGATATTATGTGCCAAAACCATGGGTATCAGACACTCATCACAGCTTTCCTGGTTTGCTCTGATTCTTCATGTGCTCAAAAGTAGCTCAAAACTGTCCTTGAAGAACAGGCAGAATAGATGTCATTGAAAAGTTAGATACATACGGGCGATGTATTGCAAAAGATGTTATGTCCTCAAAGAAGTTAAGAAACTGTTTATAGGGCTGGGGTTGTGGCTCCGTGGTTGAGCGCGTGCCTCACGTATGGGTTTGATCCTCAGCACCACATAAAAATAAACAAATAACATAAAGGCATTCTATCCATCTACAACCACAAATGTTTTTTTTTTTTTTAATCATGCAATTTATGATAACCTCAAAGTTAAGATCCAGGTAACTGGATTCTCCTCTTGCATGGAAATGACGAGTGTGCTTGTCCAACGTGAAGTTGACATGAGTGCTGAGGACCTCGATGAGGACGGAGTGCCAGTGCTGGTCATCCAGCAGGCTGCCCAGGGTGAGGTTCACGTGGGCACCAGCAGGCTGCAGGTTGGCATTGCCTGAAAGGAGAAAGCACAACAGGCTGAGGTGGTTCTGTTAAAAACCATGGATTCCCTTTGCTGCATCAGCACTACAACTTAGGTCCACCCTTCCATCCCACGTAGCTATCATCCAATTTTCTCTTCATCTGAAAACAATAATATTTTGACATCTTTTGTGATTTCTTTTGTATTCATTTTTACACTTTGTTGAAATTGCTTTTTTTCAGTGATTTGTTTTTTATTACTTTTCATGACATCCTCATTTACCTTGCAAGTATTTTCTTTGCTAGAACATCACTCTCGGCACCAGCTCATAATTTCACAACAGCCTATTCTTATCTGTATGATTATGTATAATGACGATATGTGATATATTATATGTATAATGCATTTATAATGGCCTTCTTACACAGTTGTCAAAGTAGGTGCTGTTTGCGTAAATCCTACTGGAGATGTGTACAGGCTGGATGCATTTGCTAGCAATGTCCCTCAGTTCTCATTCGCACTTTCCCATGACAATTCCACTTTGCACTCATTATCCCAGGGTAACTATCAGTAATGTGTCCCTGAACTTTCAAAGGTGTTTGGCTTCACTGATAAATCATATGGTCTCTTTCCTTAACTGTGAAAATTAAGTACCAATGGATGTATTTCAAACTAGCCAGATTGTTATTTTAATCACTGGCATGAAAGTACAAATGCCTTTTACCTGAATTAAGAGAAAAGACAAGTTTTCCTTTAATTAATTGCAGAGATACGTGATTTCCATGTTGTCCTTCTCTGTGGAGTAGAATCCCATTGTTCTGCATGGTTTTAAATTTCAAAGAAATAACATCTCTTATCGGTCTCATGGGCTTTTTATCCAATCTGAATAGCAGGGCTCCTAGTCCATCAAAATAAACCACCTGAGATCCTAGGAAAGAGGATAAGACAAAGTAATTCTAACTGTAATACATCGTACATTGCACCTGGAAATGGATAGGCCAATACACCTCAATATACACAAACACACAGGTTACATTTCTAGTTGCTCATTGTTGGAAACACTGATAACTATGTATTCTTGATTGGTGTCACAAGTTGATTTACCTAATACTCATTGGTAGGCTTTTTCATTTTCCAAATTTATCATTGAAAAACACATTTATTAATATATTCTCACTGACTTCTGTCTTTATACTGGTTTATTTCTTCTCATTCTATTTGATTTTTAAAAATCAGGAAATATGTTGTATTTCTACTAAATGAGTTGTCTGTTTTAAGATCGTTCTTCTGTTAAGAATCAGTGTCACTCAATTTAAATGATTTATTCATTCCCAGTAACTTTGACTTCTCTTGATTCTTATACATGTACACACATTAGTGAAGATTTTGTTTGTTTATAAAACACACACACACACACACACACACACAGCTGGTTCTGTTTCTCTGGAGGACCTTAACTAATAAAGGCATACATTTTTTATTTCGATGCTTTGTTGAGAGAGCATGACTTCAATAACACTATTTTGGGCCTTCCGGAGAAGCCTGTCAGAACTACAATTCTGCCGTTTCTTCTGAGCTTTCTAACAGGGCCTTACAATTTCAACTATAAAGGTCATGATCATTCACTTCATCAAAAAACAAGTGTGTCTTATCTATAATACAAAAGAACATCTGTCAAAATCAACTGAAGATGGAACAACAGACAAAAAAAAATTAACATTACCCAGAAAAATCTCTTGTGTTTTTTTTAAATTAAAAGGAAGAAAAAGAAAGCAGTTATCTTCAAAAAAATATATGTATCTAATAAACGGAGGTGCACAAAACATGTGAAGCCATCAGAAGCCAACCAGCCCAATCATTCAAGCTGAGATAGATTGTTTATCGTATTTAATTTCACAAAAATATTTCTGCTAGTCTTTTATGTGGTTATCCCTTTTCTTTAGGTTATGCAAAAATATATAAAAAATTGTGCCTCAAAAAATCATCCATTTTGTGCAGCTAATATTTGAAAGTTTACAAGTCTGATTTTCTCACACGGGGTTAAGGTATGTAAGAGAAATTATTGTATTAAGTGCTACTTTATACTACATTATACTACATTCTGTGCAAAATATATGTAAACCAATTATTCCTTGTTATAGAACTAATTTTATGTGCACAATTAAAAGCAAAACTGTCAAATCCAAATGAAGCCATGTACAGTTAGGAGTTGGCAATTAACTAAGGAAAGCTTTGGAAAGACAGCAAAGACTTCACATTTTGCTGTTCCCATCACCTCTGCTGTGACTGTGTCTTTATGTGTTGCTCAAAGATAACACTAATATTTGGGATTTTATATTTTGCAGTTGTTTAACACAGTGTTCTGCTCCTGAAGAGGTCTTGCCTGGGTGATTTAGATCTAGTTTTGAGTTTTGCTTTTCCTCATTTTCACTGTGACTACTCTAGACCACAGTAGGATTGATTTTCTAAGAAACACGAAGGAGATTTCCTGAAACGTTTTTCTCAGGCAAATGGTAGAGCGTAAGTGTTAGAAGACTTGTTTCAAGACCAGTTTCAAGGTCTAGTCCATTAGGTAATGCCTTGTCTTTCTGTCAAACGTGACTACGCTGCTTCAATCTAGAAATTTAACCACATGCTTTTAACTCAGTATGGGGACTTTTAAATGAAATAAGTTAATACAATAAAAAAAAATCCAAGTTAAAAAATAGTCAACTCTGACTTGTGAAGTCAATACATGAAAAAAAATGAAACTAAATAAAAGCTCATGTTTGGGATAGAGAACATTTAGCTCAAAAATTAAGCAGCAATTTTAATTTTTGAAAATTGGGTGCTGGTGAGGGAGATCTCCACAAGGTCTCTCTCAGGAGTGATCTGCCCATCAGAGAAGCAAGCCTTTCAGGACTTGGTGCTTACAGGTAGTCTAAAAGTCAACCTTTTCCCCATCTGCTGCTGAGAGCCACGGCCGAGTCTGTATGGCCCCTGGCATTTTGCCAACAGTATTGATTGACAGGCGAGGCATTACTATCCGCCTCTGCCGCAACTTTTGAGTTCTCGCACTATTTTGGAGTTCTCGTGGGGATTGCCGGGGATTCCCCGGGAGTTCCCATTGGTTGGGGAAGTGCAGGAGGAGGGATTTCCGGGAGAGATATTTCCGGCTGGGGGTTCCTGGACTAGCCCCATGGAGTTTGGGAGGATTCCCCGGGAGCTGTGTGAAGTGTTTTCCTGCAGTTCAAAAATTAAGTTTGTTCCTGCTTCAGTGGCTAGTGATTTGTGCCCAGCCAGACTGCGGCAATCTGCCATATTTTTAGAAATTTAAGACTCTTGTAAGAGCAAGTAAATATTTTATAGCCCTATCAATACAAGTAAACCTCTATAATATATATTTGAATAAAAACATTAAAATAATAAAAATTCAGTATCATATTTATTATAAACTTTCATAATAACCTTAAGAGAAAAATTTATTGGTACAAAATTCAATTATATGAATAGGAAATGCAGAGGGATACTGGAAAATCAGAAATCCAAACTTCTTCAAATTTTTCTGCCATCCAAAATGAATGGCGACAACTTAGTTCTTGGCTTAAAACAGGAAGTGCTTGTCTAATTTGATATGAACTTGGTTTATAATTATTCAACTTACCAATTGAGATTATAGTTTTGATTACTGGATTTCTGTGGTTATTAACAACACAGATACACCACCATTAGACAGAGCTATATTTTCCAGTATGGAGGTTAATTTGTCTTATATATTAAGACTCTGTTCTAGTCCCATTACCAGCTCTTTTCTTTCCCTTTTTGGGACATTTCATAATACAGCATACTAGTTCAGAGGAAGGACAAAGGAGTTAAAGCATGAATCTTAGTTCCATCCTACACAGGTTACACACCTTCTCTGAGCTCAGTTTCCTCATCTGTGACATGAGACTGAAAACAGGCCTCCCTCACAAGACTGTTGTGAGAATCCGATGCGTTAACATCTGTGGAGTTTCACAACAGTGCTTAGCACACAGAAGGCCCACAGTGGATAAGTGCTTATGATTTCTAGAGCTCTGGGCAGAGGAAAAAAAAAGGTGGAAATTAGTTTTCAACAGCACACAGAGGACTTACAGGAAAGCCAGCAGCTTAAAATGATAACGAATTTCATTTTTGAAGGATGCAAGAAATCTTCAACTTTCAAGTCCCATGGTTGGATCCCACCCGGCAAGGAGAGAGATATTTACAACGATCCTACACCTAAGCTGCCTCCTTCTCTGCCAGCCAGCCTCTTTCTGAGCCTGACTCATTTCAATCGCTGGTGACCTAAATCTTACTGGGAAGTATGTCTATCTATTCATTTTAGAGGCGAGAGAGAGTGTAGAAATGACACTTGAAGATGATTGGTACAATTACATCATCACTGCGTTTCCCAGAAAGGAATATTGGAAAAGAGCCAAAGATTGATGCATTCAGAGGCTCTCAAAGATTAATTCCCGTAAGACTAAGAACTTACTGTCACAGACAGTATTCACCTGTCTGGGAGGAATTTGGTAAAATCTATGTCTCCATTCAGATAGCTCAACGTGTGGAGCAGCCCTTGTCTAGCACATGTGGGTGTCTGGGTCCAATCCCTAGAATCTGGAAAAGTGGCAGAGATAGAGAAACTGCACATGCTAATCAGAATCCATGAAAATTTATAGTGATAGTGAGCATTTTGCTATAAATAGAGTGTAACTGGGAAAAGACACTGCCTTAAAGCAACGTCATATCCCATAATAAAGTTCTTGAATCAAAACAGGGCAGTGGACATACAAATGAAAATACTAAAACGTACCACCCTTATTAACATAAAGTGTCAACAGCATAAACAAAATCAATACATCTGAAAAATAATTCCTCTAAGACAAAAAGGACATGGTAGAGATTCACCTTCTGGGGGACATATTTTGAATTTCTCAGTAGTGGTGAGATCTTATCCATCTGCATCTTGTTTCCCCAGTCACTCTTACCCAACAGCTCAAGTCTACAGAAGTGAACTATGCCGAGAGATTCCACAAGATCTGCATGGCGCACTGTGCTTCTTGGGACTGGTCACGGAGCTTTGATCTTTCCAATATTACTCTGAGGAGCTGGAGTAGCATCTCCTCATGAAGGAACATCAAGCTAATGGCAAATCCCCATCAAAGAGCGTGTTCTGCTTTGAAGTCAGTAAACCTGAAGTTGTTTCAGAGTGATGGGAGGACAAGCTAATTTCAGAGCATCAAAGAGAAATTCCAAGTATCAGACACTGTAGCCATTGCAACAGTGAACTCAGCTGGGTTCAAGAGAATACAGTGATGAAAGAAAATGACCAATGGGAGGGGAAGAAAAGAAAGTCGGATGGCAAAACAACACCATTATACTTAATGTCCCATAGAAATGTAAACATTAGATTACAGAGTTAGGAAATTAATTGGCTTGCACAGGGGTTGAGTCACAGAATGTGAATAATAGCATTCATGACTTTAAATACTTCATGGGTGGTAGATTATTATTATGTTTTAGAAAATTAACATTCTGCAAGGTCAAAGCCGGGATTAGCAAAGAAGGGAGGCGGGTGTTTGTGTGCAAATGGTGTCACACGGGGGTCCAACCTGACCAAACCTGAGATGCCAAAGATATTTCCATCCAGTCTATTCTTTGCATGTTCTCCAGGTCTACACAGGAATTATTTTTATTATTGTCCCATTCTGACAATAATCTATGATGATATAAAGAAACAGAACAAGTATATCCTGGATTATCCAATAACGGCTAGATGATAAACTCCTGCCACACAATTCCATGGTTTGCTTTTCACGTCTGTGTTATACTCACATTACCTCCGTTCTTTTTACTTTGGTCTTGCACATGCTAGACAAGCGCTCTGCCCTTAAACTGCATTCCCAACCCTTTTAATTTTCTATTTTGAGACAGGCTGACCTTGAACCTGTGACCTTCCTGCATCAGCTCCCAAGGAGCTAGAATTACAGGCGAGTCTTTTGACTTTGATTATAGTTAATAGATGAGAAAAAGAGGCTGACATAATGCATATACATGTATCCCCACCAAGGAAGAAAAAGTGAAGCCTCAGTGCGCTGTACAGAGGTTTCCCAGGGACGTCAACAGAGAGAGGCAGAGTCAGAACTGAGACACCACTGAGCAGGCGCTGTGCCTAAGAAACCAGAGCCCCCCCCATCCCCCCTGCATTCCTATACTGAGTGTCCACATCAGAAGAACAGCATCATCTGCTCCTGGTTTGAACTTTATTCACTTAATTAAATGGCTATTACATTGTAAGTACTCTGTTAAACTCTGGAAATCTAAATATTAATACATCTTGATTAAGGTCCACCTCTAAATTCAACTATAAAAAGTAAAAACTAAAGTCCACTCTGACATGGGAAGATTGACACAAGATTTAAAAAAAAAATCAGTTTGGCTGCACAGTTATTTAAAAATCAGAAGTCAAGTTCAGTTGGCAGTTTGGCTTTTGCGGCATCTCATGCAGGTGTGGATTTCTTCCAGTAACCAAGGCTACTTACTGTATGCACACCCATACACCTCGACCCGCATCCCAATCCTGCCCTTGGGGTTCCAGGCTAAAGGCAGGAAGCGCAGGAACCTGGCTTCGAAGGGGGGCTGGAGCCGGTAGTGCACCACGCTGTCCGCATTTGTGTTTCCTGAAAATCCCTGCGAGAAATCAGAGAAAGATCCAGGTCAGGGCAGAGTACCACATTCCCTTGGCCTCCGCTCCATGGATGGCACAGCAAGTGCGCTCTGTTGCTGTGGAAAAGCCTTCTTTCAAGAATATCTGCTAATGTTCAGCCCAGATGTGACACCCTCTCCTGGGTCTCTCCATCAGTCACCATTGTCCAAGTTTTCTTTATTTACAGGACAGTGGGAATTTCATCAGCACCTTTAACATGTCCATAAACACAGTAACTTCCATCAGATTTGCTTTTCTGAATTTTTTATCTCCTCCTCTAATATCCAGGAAATAAAGATGCTCCCATCAACCACATCACCCAGGGTGATAAAACACCTGGGTGATGAACATCCAATACTACAGAAGAACCCTAAAATGGGACTTGGTGGGGGTCCTAGCATGGATCTAGCCCCATCCCCTTAGGTTCCAGACAGGAGACCGGCTGGAGGTCAGTGGCTACCACTTAGGGTGGGAGGGCTCACTTCCTAGGGGTTCTACTTCAGTTGCAGAGTTTATCCCATGTTACCTGGCTGTCTCCACATCAGTGCAGGTCTTCTTCCCTGCTGTACCTCATAACCCAGATTTCCTGTGGCCAGAGTTCTGGGGGTATCCAGGGAACACCCCCGGCACCCCCCCAACCTTATCTGCCCAGGGCAAAGGACAGTGCTTTTGCCTAGTCACCACCTGATCATCATCATGAAAGACCAGAGTGTGAGCAAAGAAGGTTATATAAAATACTTTTTGTCTCGTTTCCAGCTGTGTGGGAGGGAGGGCAGGTGAAGGAGGTTGGATCACTACCAGGCACAATTAGGACACGTTAATCAAAAATCAAAACTAATAAAAATGTGCAGAAACAAGGGGAAGACTGATATTCCTGCTCATACACATTTATTTGAGATCACTTAGCAATGACCGGTTCAATCAATAAGATAAAAACAGTGCTGATAACCACTCACATGGAAGTAAAAACTTAGAAAAATTAATATTTTCATTTCTTATACAATTTTCTGCTCTGCATAACTCCCTTTACTAGGGTGTTCAAACATAGCATGTGGGTTTTTTTATGAAAAAGTGCAGAGGTGGGTGGAGATGAGGGATTCATGAAGAACCAGCTTCCTAATGAATAAAGGTTTAAATCAGAACTTTTAAACTTTTTAGCTGCAGCTAAAGCTGAATTAGAGAGAAATTCAAAGACAGAGAGACCCTTTCACTTAATAATCATGAAATTAGGGAGTAAAATGTCTGCTTGCCGAGACTCTAACAGTAGAATGGCTTTTTCCTAACATGCCTGGGGCATGCAGTTACACTCAATGTTTGGAGCTGGCCCATTACTTCAGCCAACTGTCAGGGAAATTATCTGGGCTGGGTCTGGGGCTCAGTGGTAGAGCACTTGCCTAGCCCATGTGAGGTGCTCAGTTTGATCCTCAGCACCACATAAAAATAAATAAATAAAGGTATTATGTCCATCTACACCTAAAACAAATTTTTTAAAAGGATGTTATCTGCCCAATTATTTTGCTTTGTTAAAGAATTTGCCAGCTTAACAACATAAATGGAATTAGAATCAATCTGCAAAGTCCCAGACCCCCTGTGGGCTTTCCTTGGTATAAATAAATGGAAATTGAACCACAGAACAGCCTTAGTGAGGGCGGTCAATTTCAATGCTAGTGTAAAGTCATATTATTCATATCTTTTTAGAATTATAACCAGTTCCTTAAGATACCCACCAAATAAAGTCGTTCTTTAAAGAGGCAGAAATTAAAAAGAGAGGGATGATCTATACGAGTATTTCACTCCTGTAACATTTAGGGCTCATTCTCGAAATCACCTTCTATTTTACAATAAAATACTGTGTCTTTAAAAATGTAAGGTAGTCTTTTATTCATTAAATTCCAAATTTGCCTTGAGAGTTTCCATAAGAGACATGAATTTATAGGCAAGCAAAAACAGAAGCACGTTAGACATAAAGAATAAAGAGCTCTTCCTGCCTGGTTTTGTTTCATAGAAAACAAAGGTTCTAGAAGCAGAGGGCCAGGCATTCTCTGTGGAAATATACAGCCCTCAGCAACTCTCCAGAGCCTTAAATCTTCATTTAGAGACAAATAAGAAACACAGCACTACTGAGAGGGGACGGTTGGCAAATGACTTTTAGAATCCACAGCCCTTCAAATTCTCTTCTGTCCCTGCTCAGGCACCTGACCTTGATGGAAGGCGCCATAATTTCTTTTGAAAGTGAAAAAATAATGTCTACCTGAAAATCATGGACATGATTAAACCCATTAAAGTATGTAAAGGATTTGTAAGATTATAGACTATTCTCTCTACAGAATTCCCCACCACTCGTGTGTATGTGTTACAGCTTTGGGGGGACTTCTGAGAAACTGAGACAGTGCAAAAGACCCCCTTCAAACCCTGATTCTTGCAATCAAGTCAGAAGGATTTCAGACACGTCACTCAGAGTAACAGGAATGAGTTTATTGAAGGGATAGGAAAGGGGAAGGGGACACTCTGAAGGGAGAGAATATGTCCTCTCGGAACGGAGAGGGATAGGGTGTCTCTTCTGTACTCTGGCTTTATGGGAGATCCCAGAGAAGTTTCCAGAAAGTCCCACCCAGACCCACCTCTTGACTTTTGACTGACAGCAAAATGACTTCAGATTTGAAAGTACCAAGAGCCACGACAAATCTAGGTCACCTTGGCCTATGCCGACCAGTTCTAATTGGATTCTTAACCACAGGTTCTTACAGATTTTATGGTTAGGAGGAACTATCCTTATCTTCCAGTTTCAGGTTATGAACTATCCTTATCTTCCAGTTTCAGGTTATGGCCACAGAATTCTTCCCTTCAGGGTAACTTGGATTCCTCGTATCAACATCAACTTAGGTCTGCGTTTCTCCTGCAGATAACAGGGACTTTGCTGGGGAATATGACGTATCCTGTCCACTTAGGCCAGGCAGGGCTGCAGGTAATTGCTTCTTGGAAAAGAAAGCACGTGAGGGTCAGCACGGTGGGCCCACTTTATAGAATCATCCCCTTGACCTCCTGTTCCCACCATCCTCCTCTGTCTGTCCCCTAACACTTTGGTTTGCTCTTCACATTCACATTGGCCAGACTTAACAATCAGAAGGCTGGAGGGGCTACAACGCTCATGGGACCACCTGGTCTCCTACCTAATGTGGCTTCATGGACCACACTCTTGATGAGGGGTCACTATCACATGCCCAGCCTTCAGTAGACAAATGGGCGGCCAGTCTAAGATTCACCAACAACAGTAATTTTTAAGAAGCCTCTTAGAGATCTGTCATTCTGAAACAGTTCTGTCTTTAATGCATTTTTATTAAATCTTTATTTTAAACGATGAGTTACAGAAGTGAATCTCAGAGACATTTGAAAGCAGGATTAAGTCTCCACGAGGTACCACCAGTGCACCGAGCAACCCCACTGTTTCTTCAGTCAGAACTCACAAAGAAACGTGTATGAAAGATACCAGTTCTTTGTTTTCCCAACACTTGAATGTACTAAACAAGGAGCTCAGTGCCTAGCATGTGTGACACACTGGGTTAGATCCTTAGCACCACATAAAAATAAATAAAATCAAGGCATTCTGTCCATCTACAGCTACAAAAAAAATACTTTATAAAAAAATTGTACTAAACAAGACTCTTATTTCAATATGCTGTTACTATCTTAGCGGTCATGGTTATGAGGCAGGACAGCACCCCTGGGTAAGGAAGCACCCTGTACTCCTCGGCTATAATTCTCCTTGGATTGCCCGACTCAGCTGATATTGGACACGAGCTTCAGTCTCTGTGATCTCGGCTTCTTTGTGAATAATATGGGAAATATAACAACTGCTCTGCCCAATTTATAGCTTGTTGAAAGTTTCTGAAAGTGCCTTAAAAATTCTAAGGAGCTATACAAATGAAAGATATAATTAACCTGCCCCATAAGATATGTTAACAAGACTATTTGATTAAGATAGTTTGTAATTTATAAGTGTTATTAGGAAAAAAAAATTGTATTAATGCTAAGTGTAGAGCATTAGGAGTGTAATTAACCCGGCATATGCCCCGAGAGCATTTTATGAAGCAATTAAATGGTGCTTACACAGGTTATTAAAAAGTGAGTATATTATCTTTATCACCTTTCTATGAGTAGTATAATTACACCTGTGTAAAAAATGAATTAGTAGAAAGCATGATGAAAGATAAAACAACATTTACGTAAATTTAAATATGTGTGAACAAAAGAAACGAGCCTTTTTGTTTTTTTTTAGAAGAATACACAAAACACACTGGACTCAGGAAAAGTGAATCATCGTAGGAATGATGAATGAATGAAGAGATACGGAGGCTGAGCAGGGCCACCTCACACAGACCAGAACAATTCTTTACTGATGCGTCATTGAAGAATATGACCAGTCAAACCCTTGGCACTCAAAGCCAAACACACACACACACACACACACACACACGCACAGGCTCCAGCATGTGGACCCAAGTATCTGGATGGAGCACCTTCAACCTTCTGCTGATACCTCCTGACCTTCTCTCTTCTCCAGGGACCAGCTGTGGTTGAAGGAAGGGCTGCTGCAGGTGTGGCCTGGGGCTGTCCCAGAGACTTGTCCCAGCTGACTGTGAAGCCATCACTCCAGCAGGGTGATTGACTTCTGTGACTGTCTGCTACATTGGATGTCCCCTCCAAAACTTGTGTTGAAATTTAATAGCCACAATAGCCATATTACCAAAAGTGGTATACAGGTTTAATGTAATTCCTATTAAAATCCTAATGATGTTCTTCACAGAAATTGAAAATACACTCCTGAAATTCATTTAGAAGAGTAAAAGACCCAGAATAGTTAAAGCAATCCTTAGCAAGAAAAGTGAAGCAGACCTCAAATTATTTTACAGAGCTATAGTAACCAAAACAGCATGGTATTGGCACCAAAACAGACATGAAGACCAATGGAACAGAATGGAAGACA